CCGTTTGAAAACTAAAGATACTGTAATGTTTCATCGAAACCAAAAACTTAGTCAATGAAGTTTAAAAGCAATTTTCACAGTACACAGGTATGCACTTATTGGCTTTAGTTACTGAACAATATCAGTCTTAAAAAATGAGTGAAAATATTTCAGTATGACAGCAAGATGGTGAAAACGTGTTGTTTTAGTAAAACATGTGTTCGGGTACTCGAAATTTTGTGAAAAATACTCCTGTTTACACATGATTTTCATATTTTGTTTAGGACACTTCGGTACGCAAGTACACGCTGAGAAACTAGCTTGCGTTTCAGCCACTTAGTATAGCTGCTAGACAACAGCTTTTTCAGACTTTTATCTTTAGACCCAAAAGTTCAACTGTGCAATTAACCGGAGCACATGAAAGTATATAGAGACAACAGCTTCTGCCTTGTTGTCTGGCGTTAAGTCGAAATTAGAACCACGTTTTACTTTGTAGAACTCAGCACAATATGGCTTGAGGTGACACATCACGTTGTATGCTCGTGTTCGAGAAATTATGTCTCTAATCGTATCGACGTATCCTATATCTTTGATCTTCTTCTACTGAGACGAAGAAAAGTTCTTTAAAAACAATAACATCCATCTCAGTTATAGCAATACGAGGCAGTGCACAGCTGCCAACCAAATCCGTAATTGTAATTAATCTTCGAAGTAAGCAACCTACTTAGTTCAGTCACGTTTCTGGAGATGTTTTTTTTCTTTTTTATCAGGATGATTGAAGATTGTTATGGTTTGCAGTATCATATTAAAGCCACAAAAAGATTATACTTTTATGGGGCAATAAATGTTTAATCTTGTTCTTTATAATTGGATAAATATTAACCTAAAACCTTTCGACAGAGCAAATTAATTGCAAACGACAAAATTTCTTGACGCTAATGTTCTCAATCTAATCTTTGTAAACCCACTTCTTAAATGATGGAAGCCAAAGAAAAATAAGCTGAACTGAATTTGAAAGGCGAAGATTTCTCAGGTGTCTGCGTTTCATTATTTGGTTCAAGACGGCGGAACGGACGGAAATAAAAATAAATCAAAGAGATCATGATTGATAATTTTCGCGCAGTGTAATGTTGCAGTGTAATATTGCATATATGACATGTGAAATGTGATCTTCTAGGACACTTTTTACGACGCCCTCTTCAAAGAGAAAGGAAATTGCACGAGATTCTCAGGCCTTTTACATCCCATCCTCAAAAGTTACACCCAACAATCGATAAGATTTCAGCTTTCTTTACTCGACCAAATTGACAATCGTCGCGAATGACAAGAAGAATAAAGTGCGCGCACGCCAGTCTACCGCTTATGTTGCAGACTTCACGACTGTCTGAAAATTTTGACTCCGTCTGCTACAATACTAACACACCACGATCGCTACATTTGTATTTCCGAGCACAAGGAGCATCACGTTCGCATGTGCAAACACCGAGATCATGATTCTGTAAGTGCGCTAAGTTAGAGTCCCAGAGCACTAGGACGCGCGTGCGATTGATATACCCTCACACGAGGACGTTACGAAATAAACCGTTATGGCACGGAAAGGGCAGTCGCTTATCCAAGACCCAAGGCGCCAATGAAAACATAAAACAATTAATTGAACGGTGTATGTAATTGTTTAAAAGAGGCAAAGTTTACAGAGGTGAACCTTCTTTGGGGCATTCAAATACATTTGGTGTTGGTCAGTTGAAAATGGCCTCGAGAACTATTTCAGTTTTATCTTGCATTACACAGTTAGGAAGCGAGTTAAGAGATCGCCGTCATTTCCTTTGACTTTCACACTTCACTGTTTAAGTTTGTGGTTTTCTAGTTAAGCCGAGGTTGTTGTAAATGTTTCTTCTAGTTGTTCTTAGTGACCTAAGGGGCAATATTTGCACTCAAAGGTATTTCTAATTTTAGCCGAGATCAATCGCAACCAACATTTCGTACAACACGATGTCATCTAATGTCTGCACTCGTCTTTACCAAACACTTAAATACATAAATTCTAAAATCTGACACGGTTGTACATTACCTTGCAGAGATGTTTATCCTTCACTTCAGCCGTATGAATGGTTTGTCAGTGGCTTCCGAAAGAACAGCACCAAGCAACGTTCAAGGAATATTATGTTGCTGAGTGTAATATGATCGTACCAAGGTTCACCGATATCTCGTGACCAGACTTCTTAATCTAACGGAAACGATGATCTAAAAGCATAAATGCCAGCGCGAACGCAACTGCATAACAGAGGATAAAAACTGAGATCTGCTTCTCTAATAAAACAAGGTAAAGGAAGATTAATGTAAATTCGAGGCTGATCGCTTCATTCTCTGCTCTGATTAGGCATTTAAAGCCCCGTAAGAGGAGATCGCATTCAAACGTTTATCCGCGACCAAAGTCGCGAATGCAGACTTGTAAAGTTCTGTGCGATAAAAATAATTGTTTTTCCACTTTGGGGTAACCATCAAAGCGACCTTCACAAGTTTCTTGTTGACCTAATATGATGATGTAAAAATGTCAAAAGATTTTATCGGTTGAAACCTCATCTGCAACCCTCTCTATGTTGTTTTCTCGCTAATTTTGGGTCGGCGTCAAAAGCTTTGATCCGACCTATACCGTTAGGTTATTTCTCGATAATCCTTTGCGGAAGTATGTTTTTATGGTTCTTTATCACGGGAAGCAAAGCCTGAAAACTGATGCCAAACATTCTATTCATTTCATCCTTGAGCTAGATTACTAAATTGAAATAAAAAATCATACAAAATTCTCGTGAGTTTTTTTTTCACTTATGAAAACCCCACAAAATTTAAGGATGCCTGTCATGAGAATTAAATTATTAATGAACTTTGTCACGCGAACCCTCCAATAGCCTGATCGAATGATTTCGTCGCGGAAGCCAGTGAAAAAAGGCGCATGCGTGTGTCTTATCACAACCCACATGGTACTGCTTAACGATCTTACCTTGTCTAAAAGTTCATATGGAGCAAACAGACAGTGTTTTGAAACATAATGTCCGTGAAGCAATGTGTCCACGTTGTATATCTTCGGGTGCAAGGGCCAGATACAATAAAACAGGAATTGGAAGCACATCAGTGTTGGCAAGTATGTATTTTGGACAATTCGTAAAAGTGAACAAGATTCCTACTGGTGAGAACACTTGTCCCGGCCGCGAGAACGGAAATGGCCTCGTTCCGTTCATCAGCTCCCCATCGTTATACGATGTTTACGGTCAGTTGTATCTTACGTCATGAGGAAATAATTGTTCTGTTGCCAACACTTAGATGTCAACACTTTCTTCAAGGAGTTCGTACGATCGTAGAAAACTCGGAAGTTTGTGGGGCACGTGGTTTAATTACCAAGAAAAGTTTACTTTGGCGAGATCTCAATTTAGCTGACGTTTTTATTAGATTTCTTTCTTAAATTATCATCTTCGTCCTGAATAATTCAATCTATCATTTCTTAATCTTTTTAATGGAATCCCTCTACTTTAAAAGTAAAACTTTAAAACTGTAATACTACAATAGAGCATAGATTTAGTTACATACTTCCGAAAGGCTGGCTGTGGGTTAAAATGTCCTGCCTAGGAAAAAAAAAGAATTGATAAGAATTGACAACCTTGAGACAGTCTGCGAGTGCGGTGGCTCAGTTTACACTGAAGGATCATCTCAACGTTTTCTTCCTGATTTGCAGCCCGATGTTTTCCTTCAGCGAACTAGGAAATTTTTAACTTCGAATTCAATCTGAAGATCTGCAGACTGAAATTTATTACTTTGTGAACCGTATTGTTTAAAAAAAAAAAAAAAAGTGGGGAGGGTGGACAAATTACCTTGCTGATTCTTTGCCCTGTATCAAAGAAATAATTAGCTTTTGGATTTCAATTTATTGGCAAGATTGTGCCTACCTTGTTACAAATTCAAGAGGAATTTTTTTCGGATTTATCATTATTGCTGTATATTCATGGCAGATGGGGAAAGAAACAAGTAATCAAGATGTTTTCTTACTGGTGATTACACCAAATTTTCGACGATCAAGGTTTGTACGGTTTTTCAAAAAATGAGGGGGAAATGGTAAAGTAAGACTTGTACTTGATGCTCCAACTGAGCTCAGGATAGAGAATTGACCAAGCTGTTATAAGATTCAAGGAACAGTTGATATCGATCCCATTCTTTGGGGTACAAAAATGCTCCATAAATTAAAACGCAGCTGTTAACCTGCCGGCGATACAGGGCACCCAAAGTGTATCGCAGACAATTAAAAAATTCTAAGTATCGTTCAAGCAATCTCGATGATAGAAATATTCTCACAAAGAAAAAAAAACACGTTTACAGAGGGTCTCAATAGGGTTAACCGTGAGCCGGAAAACAGCCAAAAATTAGCCGTCAGGTGTAAGCAATTGACAAATTTAACACTATAACCCCTAAGAGTGACTAACATCTTGATTCTCCTTACAACATCACCCTTGAATCAAACATTAAGGTCATGAGAATAAAGGAAATGATCACCAACTAAAGAAGCTCTTGATAGTAAAACAAATTCTCCTTGACAGAACCCTCGGAAATGTCTAGGGAGTAGTAAGGAGAATACGGATACTGATGTTAGTCGTAAAAAGAAAACAACCGTAAAACAATTTCTGGAGACAACAATGGGAAGATATCAACCGTTAGCCCAAAATTGGCCAAAATTTTAACCGTTAGCCGTAAAAGCCATTACTCCATTGAAACCATCTATATAGTCTTAGATATTCGTATCTTGATGGAGTTATTTTTGCCCGTTTACTAATTTGCGCCCATCAATTGCAAAAGTTATCTACAGCTGCTTGATCTACTAACTACAGTTACGATTGAAAAACGTTTTTGAAAGTTACGCTATATAAGCGTGAATTGCATAGCCCGCGACAATAGGTAGGTTTCCTAGCCAATTTTACGTTACAATGAATCAGTCCACTTCCCATTGTTTGAAGCTGATGCATAAAAAAGCCTTCTTGTCTCTATACATCAGCCAGTTTTAACCATTTTTCATACAGTTCATCCTTTTCTTTTCGGAGCTCTGCCATCTTCACTCGAAGCTCACTCAATTCTGTTTTCATCTCATCACAATCTCGTTTTATCTCTGCCGCTTTGTCTTCATTAATTGAGTCAATATTTTTCTCTGTGAAGAGTCTAGTGTCCAAGAGTTTTTGATAGTTATTTCCGTCAGTACGAATATTCTTCTGGTAATTCTTAATGAGCGATTGCAACGACTGACAAGAATTTTGCAGCGCGTGGGATTCTTCCTTCAACTTACACTCCGCGATGTTAAGGAAATGTATGAGTGCCTCTACGCTATCGATGATTATCGCACTGGAGGGATCTAGTTCACATGTCCTACGATAGTATTGAACAAGAAAACCAAAATCACCACGAATTTTGCTCAGTCTTGTCACTACATCCAAGAAACGAGTGAGCTGATCACATGCCTGGTCTAGCTGTTTCTTTCTTTCGCTTGAACTTCCACCTTGAGGAAATTGAGTCCAGGGTTTTGGTAATATTTCCTTGTGACTATTCCTTAAAGGAGCAGCGTCCGTGTTGACGGGGGCGGCCCTGTTCTGATTCAGACTGCTGCTGACTGACTGAGCAGATGGCTCAGGAATACCAACGCTGTTGCTCATAGAGGACCCTCTCACAGTGGCAAAATGAAGACGTTGCACCAAGGGATACACAGGAGTTGGTTGTGGCGCCACAGAAACACACTGAATGCTAGGTTGCTGCCAGCCTGACGGTGAAATGAAAGGGATTCCTACTAGAGGATAAAACCGCTGGAGACTTGCTGGGGGTGTTTGAGGCGGCACCGTATTCACAGTAACAGAATTTCCTGATTGTGGCAAACGGCTTTGCTGTGCGTTGACAACTTCTACTGGCCTGACGTTTGAAGACGCCATACTGTGGGATGGTGGAAGATTACCTGAAGGATGCATGTTTGGGCTGCTCAAAGGCACGATGATGGAATTCCCTGTATGTGCCGTGGTTATTGCAGGCCTGACATTTGAATACACCACACTAAGGGATGGTCGCAGATTGCCCGAAGGATGCATGCTTGGGCTGCTAAAAGGCACGACAATAGGGTACATTGTTTGTGCCGTGGTTACTGCTCGCCTAACGTTTGAAGACGTCATATCTGGAGATGTTCGCAGATCGACCGGAGGAAACAGTTTGGGGCTGCTCAAAGGCATGCAGACGGAATCCCTTGTACGTAACGTGGTTACTGAGGATGACAGACGGCATTGTTGTTTTTTGACGTCTTCCACTTTTACTGGCCTCACGTTTGGAGAGGCTGCTCTAACAAAGGGTTGCAGACTATCTGGGTTGCTTAAAGGCGCGACAATGGGATTTCCTGTTTGCACCGTGGCTATTGAGGAAGGCAAACGGTAATGTTGTGCGTTGGCGTCTTCTAATTTGACAGGCCTCACGTTTGAAGACGCGTCACTAGGAAATGGACGCAGATTGCTCGAAGGATGGCTGTTTGGGCTGCTCGATTGCGCGACAAAAGAATTTCCTGAATGAGCCGTGGTTATTGAGGATGGCGAATAGTACTGTTGTGCGTTGGCGTCTTCTATTTTTACTGTCCTCACGTTTGGAGACGCAGCACTAGGAAATGGTCGCAGAGTTGCCGAATGGTGCATGTTAGGACTACTGAAAGACAACGAACTCATCTCTTTTACAGTGTTTATTTGAGTAACTACATCATGAACCTTATGAGGCACACTATCTGATGCTGACGTCTTTCTGTAATTGGATGCCTCAGAAGAAACACAAGAAAAAGACGATTCTTCATTGGCCGTAGCTGAAAATGTCCGGTTACAGTTATTTTTACTCGCTTGTCGAGGTATTACCCCAGGTAATAACAAGCCATGAGAGGATCTTTGTTGTTTCAACGGACGGCTTGGCATTTCAGGAGGAACTGCGTAACGCTGATTACTATCTGAATGGCTGGAATTTTCACCACTGCCAGTTACCAACCCTGATGAGAGCGTAAGGCAAGGACTGGCCACTTGAGAAGTCGGTGTTGCCATGTGCATTGGCTGCTGCAATTCTCCCTCTCCCAGGAAACAAGTAACTTTGTCTGCAGGCATGTTTGAAGACACTTTACCTTTATTCAATGCAACAGGCATAGAACCTAGAGAGAAAAGAGAGAATAGAAATGTAAAGTCAGAAAAATAATTCTAAATCAACAAAAGATATCACTGAATGGGAAGAAGAACCACAGTAAATAGTATAAGAGAGATGGTAACTTTTGAGGCCGGTAAAGAAATAGAGAAAGATGTTGTTCGTCTTGTCATGAGCGTGGGACAAAGAAAAAATTCAGAGTCCCCGTGAGGAATCGAACATTAGAGGTTCGCATTCCGCGCTCCTATGCTCTACTACCGAGCAACAGAGACTCTAAGGTGAGCGAAGCCTTTAACGAAGTTCATATGACACGAGTCCTGCATACTGCTTAGATCAGCATATGTCGATAGCGTCATGTCCGTAAATAGAATAAGAGAGAAGAACCGCAGTGCGCTTAAATCCTGGGTCAAACAATTGAGTTAACCAATTGAAAAATAGTACAGTCCATTTTAGAAAAATATCCTTTTCTCTACTGACCAGGATGGGATCTTGCAAGATTCTTCTTTCTTCCAGCGCTAACTCTCATTCTTGCCGCGTTCTTTACCCTTGGATCACGTCGCTTGACTTTATCGCATCTCTCTCCACTTGCGCACCCAAGACAGGTACTAGAACAACACCTGCTTGTAATCAAAATTCGTCTAGATTTCCTCTGTGTGGAGTCTCCTGTCACATCATGACCCACTCTTTTCTTGCCTAGGTGTTTTGCAGCAGATGGCAAATACTGTATTGAAAATCCAACATTCCCTGGCAATGGAATACACTTTCCAACATCAATTTCATCCAACACAACCTTGAAGTCACGTATCTCTCGGTTCAGACTTGAGCGCAATGTGTTCTGTTTTATGAAGGTATCCACAGACACGCCTTTATCAGCTTTTTCCCTTCTGCTGTTCATTATTGCTGGACAGTCTGTCTACCCAAGACCTAACAGGCTTTTTATCTGTGGAGTGTAAAGACAGTAAATGAAACAAAAACTAATTTGAATAATAATATTACTAATTATAGCAATAATAATGTTAATGGTAATAATTTTAAAAAATGATGATAGTAAAAATAATAATAATGATAGTAAAAGTAAAGAAAATAATTACAAAAATTATCATGATGATAACAATAATATCATTTAGATTGATTTCTAATCATCTGTGATGGTAATGGGACTAAGTGGAGTCTAATTCGGTCTGAAATCATACCAGTGATAACAGCTGTATAACAATAACAGTATTCACCATTAATAGTAAAGGTAAAAATAAACTGTCATCATTCATTTACTAAGAGAAATAAGCTTCGAAACTGTTGTTGTAAATATGCGAAAAATCTGATAAGTATTCTTATCATCCAATTTATTACTATGAGAATAGTGTAATAGGGTTTTCATGGGGATGCTTTTAAAAGATTTCCAAGCATTTGAAAGTAGATTGTACTAATAAACAATACTTATACATTGTAGGGAAATAAGATCGAGTAGCTATCGTATATAAAATGAAATTACGTGTGCACCTTTCATTTGTCCCAAACTTCGAGAAAAAAAATACATCTGGTGCTGGTCCTTCGAAATTAAAAAATGCTGTAGGGTTTTTAAGCATATCTTTGCGATAACAAGGATTCGATCGCCTGTTTAGAGATTTGGTCACTCGCTTCTGTCGAACTACTCAACATAATAAACTCAGCAATACAAAGATTTTTCTAAGTAATAAGCAGCAGCTAATACTCAAGACATACTTACACACCAAATACTTCTCGAGACTACAATAGCCATTTGCGAACCATTCGAAAGGATCGACAAGATATATCTATGCTTCTGGATAATAAGTAAAATGGTGGTCAAAACAGTTTGTAGTTCCCAGGAGACATCGAGGAAAGCTCGAACAGATGTCAAGGGTGCCTTTGTCACGCAACACAATAGGTCACTTTCTAATTTCTCACCACCTCTAGTAGGATTTGCAAAATTTGATTTGCCTCTTTTATTTTTAATTCAGACTGAGTTCCTATATGAGTAAAAAAATAAACAGATAAATCAATTAAAAAAATCAATCAATCGGTGAATACAGCCGCGATGTCATGACAGAGTGCTAATTTTTCCTTTGACTTTACATCTGTTTTTTTGTTGTTGTTGCTCATATGCGTTTAATATTGCATATGCTCAGCTTGTGTGTCTCCTGCACTCACAAATCAAGCAAAAGAACTTACTTAAATGAGAGTTACAATTATCTTCCCATAGTCCCGTATAATTATACTAGCAACGTGGCTTCTCTTTCCTTCTGACGTCACCTTGCGCAACAGCAGGTACCCTTAAAAATTTCAACAAAGCCAACATGACAAATGAAATTTTATTTTCATTGATATGGAAATTAGCTCATGATTTGCCACAGATAAGGCAGTTACAACTAAACCATTGAAAAAACTTTTGCTTTAACGAGCAGAGTCAAGCGTACCTTGTTGTTATATATTTTCCTGATGAATGCGGATTACGATTATTTGTTTAAACTTCTCCTGATAGGGGACTCCGGCGTTGGAAAATCATGTCTCCTGATCCGCTTCGCAGACGACACGTTTACGGATAGTTTTATAAGCACAATAGGAGTGGACTTCAAAATAAGGACCATAAATGTTGAGGGAAAAATCGTTAAGTTACAAATTTGGGACACTGCTGGACAAGAGCGCTTTCGCACGCTAACGACAGCTTATTATCGAAGCGCACACGGGATCATCATGGTATATGATGTGAATGAAAAGGAAACTTATTTACACATCGATCAGTGGCTGGAAGAAATAGAAAGATATGCTTGCGGCGGAGTGAACAAACTTCTTGTGGGAAATAAATGCGATTTGTTGGGTAAACGCCAAGTTGAGTACGAGATGGCCAAAAGTTTCGCGCAAAGACTTCAGATTTCGTTCATTGAAACAAGCGCAAAGGACAGAACCAATGTTGACAACGTGTTTTATACAATGGCGGAAGAACTAAGAGAGAAGCTTGGGTCACCCCTGACTTCTCCCGATGGTGGAGGTGAAAATTTAAGCTTGAAAGACAGTACCCCGGTTAATACAAGTAACTGGCCGAAATGTTGCAGTTTTTCATGATTGAGTGGTAGTACTTGCGATTGTTACGAATAATAAAAAGGCTCGATATTTGCTCATAAACAAGACAATCACTTCAAGAGAGATTACGATTAAAAATATTTGTCTTCAAGGAGTATGGTGAAACTGTAACCTGCATGCGCAACCACTAGGAAAGTGTAGTGTTGTATTGGAAGTAAGGGACATTGTAAAATGGGTAAAGAAACACTTTCGAAAGCTTCCATTGGAAAATCAAAATTCTTGAGAAAGACAAAGTACCATTCAATACATAATTGTGGAAGGAATATGGCTTTCAAATGTTATATGCAAAAAGGGAAAAAATTTTAATTTTTGGACAGGTACAGTTTGATTTCAACATTTTGGGTAAATTCCAAGTGCGTATATGTGTTTTTATCATTGTTATTATTATTAAAAATAACAAAAGATGAAAAGTAGGGATTCAGACTGACCAAGTTAATATTTTGCAGCCTTAATATTGGGAATTGGAGGAGGTCTTTTATTACCAACTAGAACGAATCTCTAGCAACAACTATATCGGAAAATCTAGAATTTACATCGACATGAAAGTACTGACGCTTTACCTTGCATGATAGTTGGCCGTTTTGGTAGGCAAATAAAAAAGCAAAATATGCAATGTCAGGAGGATTTTTCCAAGGGTTAAGGCTCTCCATTTCTCTTAGGAGGTGCACAGGAGTTAATCAGTTGGAGGATATAAGGTTCAAATGATCTTCTTTTTAAGGGCCTCTGGGCTATATAAATTTGCATGTGTGCATATTATATTGTGGCACTGGACCGCAAAATATATTCACTGACAGCCGGCGTATAAATCGGCAAGAAGCGAGTGTTAAGAGCTATTCAGTTTTCAGTTATTTTTGGTTCAGATGAACGACAAACCCTAACGACTGCGTTCAGAGACAAGACAGAGATCTCTTCGTAATGAATTCTGATTACGATTACTTGTTCAAAATCCTTGTGATAGGCGACTCTGGTGTTGGAAAATCGTGTCTACTGATGCGCTTCATAGACGACAAGTTCACAGAGAGTTTTATAAGCACCATAGGAGTAGACTTCAAAATACGCACCATGAATGTGCATGGAAAAATTGTCAGACTACAGATATGGGATACCGCAGGACAAGAACGTTTTCGTTCGATTTCGGCGACTTATTACCGGAACGCGCATGGAATCATCTTGGTCTACGACGTCAATTGGATGGAAAGTTTTTTGCACATCGATCAATGGCTAAAAGAAGTCGAACGAAACGCAGGAGCCAGAGTAAGCAGACTTCTTGTTGGAAATAAATGCGATCTGGAAGGTAAAAGACAAGTTGATTATGAAGTGGCAAAAAATTTCGCTGATGACATTGGGGTTTCGTTCGTTGAAACAAGCGCGAAAAATGACACTAACGTCGATATTGTTTTTAACACAATGGTGGAAGAACTTAACGAAAAGTTGGCGAGTGGTTTACCTTTAATGGCCACTTCTCCCAACAATTCGGCCAAAAGTTTAGGTTTGAACGACAATCAGTTACCTGCTGAATCAACTAGTCGGCAGAAATGCTGTAGTTTTTCCTAATTTTTTACATAGTAGATCAGTGGTCGAATAGGAATTACTGTATTGTCTTAAATATTGTGAGATGCCGGTCAATGATGATCGATGAGCAGATGTTTTCGACTCTCGCACATGATGCTTAGTGTTTCTTGACAGCCAAGTAAAGCCCTTAAAGAGGAGAGCTGTATGTACTACATACACTGTATACATACACTGTATACAAAAATGAGATAAATGATTCAGTAAAAAAAGTGAATATATTAATAAATATACAGATAAATAAATAAACGAACAAATAAGTAAATAATTAAAAACCACCGCGGCAAAAATTTTAGTTCAAATTATCTTGATCTTCGCCGAGCTCTGACTCAGCGTATTCCCCTTGATTTGCGTCACGATTTGCGTGACATCTGCGGGTTGTGTTGAGCCTTTAAGAACCAAAACATGGCTCAGCGGAGTTAAGTTTGTCTATATAACATGCACAAATAGTACACTCCACGTGAGGGAACAGGGCCAATATTGACGTGAAGGCTTTCGGAAGTAGACGTCTGGATTACACTCTTTTTACCGTTGAGATTGCAAGATATCCGAATCGTTTCTTCGAATAATGAGCGATATTGTAGAGCTGCAAAGTCCTGATGGAGATCATGCAACTATTCAACTTCACGGCAAGTGGATAATTATGAGAATTTTGTGTGCTGTTCATCACGTGAAAGAACTCCTTAGGCACCATCTGTTGTTTTGTTGCTCCAGTGAAATATTCGTCGGAGAGAGAACTAGCTGCGAGGGGAAAGAGAATTCCGCGTCTCCCAAATTCCGGATGAAAAAAAAAAAAGGACTATACCCTTACAATCAAATCAGCGCATTCCAGACTTGAGTGGAAAGCTTCCCAATTAATTTAACTCCGGTTTTACGTTGAATTAACTGTTTTCGAGAGAGTTTTTTCTTTCTTCTCTATGTTAAGTTTTCTGTCCTAGTAACTTATGTTAACAGGTTAATATCAAGTGCATTTCTTATGTCAATCTGCGACTTGTAGCTAAAATAATAATGATTGGGTTGGTATGATTTCTACAGGTGCAACTGTGACGTCATGGAAGTGCAAAGGACGGGAAATGCTGTTTGTAAGGTAAATAATTCAAATTCTTCCAAACCTTTCCATCTAGCGATACCAGCAGACTGGCAAAAAACTTGATTAGCTCTTTTTTAAAATATTACCAACGTTTGATTGAAAGAAAATAAAAACTTTCCTTTAGAAGCCACTCATTGTGACATATTTTATAATCGATCTTTCATAATTTATTTTTTAATAGTGAAAAGGCGGTTTTTGACAAGAAGAAGGCGATCAGAGGCGGAATTCCAGTAGTGTTTCGTAAGTAATAATCGTATATTGTGAGGACAGGAATCAGCTGCTATATATTGGAAGCTAATCCAGTCAGATTTTACGTGCAAGATATAATGTTTTGAAAGAGCCAGGATCAACATTGCGATATAATTTATGCTGTTGCAATATGTCTTGAGGAACGAATCCTAGAATGGTTTCTGTTCAACAGCAAACTTTGGACCATGGAGTCTTGGGCCTCAGCATGGATTTGCCAGAACTAGCCAATGGCACATCAGCCAACATCCAAAGGTTTGGAAAAAAATCAAATGGGCCTTGCAATTTAACCTAACCCTCTACACTAGAACTTCAGTATGTATATTCTCCATACCATTCGCTAGTCATTTCCTAAGGTGCTGAAAGGGAGAATTTGTTTAACAATCAAGAGCCTCTTTAGTTGGTGATCATTTCCTTTATTCCTGTGACTTTAATGTTGGATTCAGGGGTGATGTTGGAAAGAAAAATTAGATGCTAGACTTACTCTTAGGGGTCAAAAGGGTTAATTCACTTTCTATGTTAAGCACAGATGTAGGGGAGATATTTGGAAGACTGGATGGCTAACAAATTGTACATCAGTTTAATCAAAGGAGATGGAGGTTATTTCCATAGGTATCAGGATAGGTCTGTGGTATCTCAAAGGATTTAAATTCATTAGGTGCTCATTTTTTCAAGGAAGAGAATGGTGAAACAAGAGCAGTGTTTTCTCTAGAGGACAGTGAAAGTACAAGACAAATGTGGGATTATAAGTAAGTGTCCCGCTCTTATCATGGACCCAGTAAGGTGCTTGGGTTTGTTGTTGTTGTTGTTTTTTTTTTTGGCAGGTGCAAATATTTATTTTGGAATCTGGTAACTTTTAAATTTTTTTTCCCTGTGAGACATTTCTCTTAAAATTCCACAATTATTACTCTTGAAGGTTTAGGGTTCTGTATGAAGTGACTGTGGGAAAGCAGCATTTAAAAACCACCATCACAGTTGAAAACAAAGGTAAAATAAAATGTTCTAGATAAAAAAAAACCAAGGATACAAATACAACATTAGTAACATATTTTTAGTTAGTTGTCTAGATTAACAGCTACCGCCTGTTATTTTTCTAAGCATTTATTTTGTCCTGGATTAAAAACACTGTTTTCAAAATCAGGTCAGTCAAATTTTAAAAATATTTCTGAAGGTGACAATGATGTTGGAAACCTTGGAAAATATGTTAAGTTACATTGAATGAACTTTGACCATTGGTTTAACTAATTAATTTTGATTAATGCTGACAGAAGTGAATGAAACCATCTTTGTTAGACCTATTTAATAAATATTTTAGGATCTCCATTTGAATTTTTCATACAATTCAAACTATACAGTTTGCACTCGTGATCTTTGCAGACGAGAAAGCCTTTGCCTTTACCACCCTTCTACACACTTATTTACGAGTTCCTGATGTTACCCAAACTACAGTTTCTGGATTAAAGGGCTTAAACTATGTTGATAAGGTGAGTGTTCCAACTTTAATTAATGCTTTTTTGAGCTGAGTTTAACAGGGAATATACACAGCCTCATGTCTGAACCCACTAATTCCCAGTAGTGATTAACATGTAACTTCTCCTTATTGTATCTACACACTATCCAGCAAACAGGTAATGAGAATACTCAAACTTATCAGGTGGAAGTTGTTATCTTACTCTGACATCAAATTCTTGAAACTAATTTACAAGGAAATATGTAGCAGCTAGAGGAGAGAATTAACAACCAGAACTTGGGTTAACCTCTCAAGTCCTAAGAGAGAATGTTTATTTTAGTGTTTTAGTGCTGAGTACTCTGAAATTATTCTTTGTAGGTTCTTGGTGGAAAAACATTCACAGAAAGCAATGAACCTGCGAAAATTAATGGGTTTACAGATAGGTAAATAAATGTAAATAAATGTAATTTTACCTAAATTGTCAAATTGAAATTCAGACACATTGTATGCATAATTTCATTGGCAATTCTTGATCAATTTTTTTTTTTCAATTTCCATAATTTGATAATCTAGTCATGACTAATAATAACCTGAATAGAACATTACTTAGAATGAAAAGGTTCATATGTGAGCTGAGAAAGTATTTGTTATTACATCATTTGATTAAAGGCACTCAGCCTTATTAATTGCTACTTGTCTAACAATTAGGCTGGACCATATGGCTGAAAGTTTTCTTTTCTTTTCTTTTTTTTTTTTTTTTAGGGTTTACCAGAACTCTCCAAGTGAACACAAGATAACAAATGTTGGCTCTAAAAATTGTCATGTAACTCTCTGGAAGGAAAATTTTCCAGATACAGGTGACATCAAAAAATTAAATTGTAAGTGACTTAATTTCTTTTGGTAGACTAATGCATGTTTTTGTTTATTTTTCAGTTGTGTGGAATCCTTGGGCTCAAAAGGCCATTTCAATGGCTGATTTTGGAGATGATGAGGTTTGTTCCTCTTTACCACAAGTTGAGTACTTTGCTGCCCTTGAGGGACAAAGAAAATGATTTGGAATGATTTTTAAAACTATTTCCTTTTCATCTCTTGTAGTATCCCAATATGCTATGTGTTGAAGCAGGATATGTCAGCAAGCCTTTTGTACTTGAGCCAGGAAAGAAATTTGAAGCCCAGCAAACATTTTCATGTTCTTGTGTTTAGCCTTGAATTTTCATACAATAGGTAGTGACCAAAATCAAGTTAGAAATGAAATTAATAGGTAGCTCTGATAGCATTAGTGCAGTTTGAAAATAAACTACTATCAATAAAAAATGTAGGGATGGTAAAAGATAAGACTAATGATAGATGTGGGTAAACAGGAAGATGGGATTAGGATATTTTTTGTGAACTAATAGATGTAATGACTTTTCTGTACTCTACCTGTTTAAATCAATTTTAAAAGGATAGGGATTGTTTTTATCAGTTTATAAGGGTAGTCAGAGTATAATATACTGTAAACCGTTTTTTCTAATGTAGGGCTAACACTCCAATCATCAGCTTTAGAAATCCTTCACGGGGGCCAATTTACATAATTAACTCAGTTGAAAAAAAAAATCTCTGTTCAAACTATGTACTGTTATACACCAATATGAGTGATGAATTTTTTTTCTTCAAATCAAGATTGTGTTCTACAAGCTATTCTCAAATTTCCAATACTCTCAAAAATTTCATGTCTGGGTGTTTCAAACAAAGTAAAATATCAGCCTGGAACTACTAACAATAACTGTTCAAATAGACTAGAAGTGTGTAGAGCCAATTAACTGAAATCCAAACAACAACATTGATCTATTTGTGCATTTAGTTAAAATCATACGTCACTAGAAAACTGGTACAAAGACAGTTTCCTTGCATTGTATAAAAATAATTAAACAGTGAAAAGAAATTGCATTCTAAATGGATATTCACAATGGTAGTAAAATAAAAAATGTTATTTAATTACCCTGAAATATTGAATAACAAGGATATAATATCGGCTTATAAACTAAGGATACCAGCTGGGAAAAAAGACAGCTTGCTGCTGCAATGTTGTGTGTTATTTCTAATAAAAAAGTACCTTTGGAGACTGTAGTTTTTTTTTCAGTTTGAATTACTTGTCCTTTCTTACTTTGAACATTTTCTTTCTCCTTCACCTTCAATACTGTAAGTTTTTCATATTTTAGTTTTTTGGGGGAATGATTAACCTGAGAGGATAAATACCTACAAATAATATGCGTATTTCCAAAACAGTCACAAATAAAAGTGTCTAACAACTCACACTTTTCCCAACCATAGCAGCTTAGGTGACTTACCTAAGCTTCTTTCTGTAATCATTTTAACAAAATTTAAATGGTATTCAGTGTCATCATACATTCAACCTGGTAAAAGATAGCCTGTACTTGACCTACTACAGCTATAACACTGGCTTCAGCCAATACTGCATTCCACAAAAGTCAAAAGAATAACTATTTTGAACAAAACCACTTGAGTAAAGAGCAATGAGCTTTAAGTTCTTTGTTCTGAAATTCAAAAGACATGGAACTCAGACACAGGAGTAGGACATGTGGGTTTATAATCCTTCAAATATCAAGTCAAGGGCAGCTTGGACGTTACCACCAGTAGCAGTGAGAGCCTGGATACTGAGTGCATCATCTGTGATTCCCATATCTCTGAGTTGCTGCAACTGTGACTGGAAATATTCCAAAAATGGTTATCACTTATCTTTATCAACTGATAGATTAATAAGTAGCTCACACATATGTGTGAAATAGTATCAGTTACACTCATTAAAATTATTATGATCTAAAATTAAAAGTTATAATAATTGTTTCAATAACTCAAAAGGGCTGGGATCTGAACAACCATATAATGTAAATTTGTTGGAATGTGAACAAAAATTGGAATACATTAAATTAAGGAGGTCTTGATGGGAGTTAGAAGGTGACAAATATCACTTAATGAAGTTGATATAATTATTGCACAGAAATGTTTAAAGTCAGAATGATGTGATGCAAAAGTTCACGAACCAACAGCAGTGTCGGATAAATTCAATAGAGATTATTCCTTTCTAATTGAATGGATTCACAAGTAACAATCAAGTTAAACAGAAAAAATAACTTAATATCCATATTAGTCCCCAGAATGTCAACAGTGAGATCAATGAGTTTCTAACCTGAAGCTGAGATGATTGCTGAGAAATGTTCATAACAGATGCCACCGCTTCACTGACCATATCTCTTGTTATGGTTGGTCGTGAACTTGACGCTCTTGTACCTCTACTTGTTGATGGGATGACTGGTGAGAAAGCTGATGTTGAAGCACCTCTGCTTGTGGATGGCCCAGCTAAAAAAGTGAATTACATTTCTCTTAAAATACAATACAGTCAAGCCTTTATGGCCAATCCTATGGGAAATATCGACTTCTAGTGATGCCAGCAATTATGTAGTGGAAAAATTATAGTTTGCATGGAAAAAAGGAGTTTCTTCATCCTCTCACCCATAATGTAGTTGTTGCTTTTGTACACATCACATCTTCTTGATAACAAATAGTGCGCATGCCATCAGAATTCAATGTAACCAACAATCAGAGCTCAAAAGGATTATTGTGTCAGCACACTGTACATACATGACAGCATAATTTTGAACTAATACCCTCACTTACATCTTTTATTTACAAAGGACACTGCACAAACCTTCACTGCGTGTTGAAGAACCTGGAGAAATTCCTGCATTAGCTAAAGCCGATGATAATAATGATGATGTGACTGGTTGCCGAGATGATGATGCTCCTCTTGAGGCCGCAGCAGATCTTAATGCTTGGATACTCTCTTCATTTGCTGCCACCAGTTCAGCTTGAGCAACAAGCTATGGATGAAAGATAATACTCAAATTAACATCTAATAAAAATTTTAGATGTGATAGGACACAAAACATGATATCTCACCCCTGGATCCATGCCTCGCAGTTCATCATCAGAATCATATGTGTCACCAGCCATGTGACTCCTGGTGGAATGTTTACCAACCCCTCCCTCCTTGGCAATTGCTGCAGCAATGTAGGAAGCTGCCTGAACCAGGCTTGGATGTTCTCGCATTACCCTGTAAAAGATGATTACAAAAAGCTTCAGTTGGTAACAATTTGCACAGAGAGTTCAAGATCACATTCAATTTATGGCTGTTATTAAAACTATTGAAAGGTTATTGTAAAACAAGAAGACAGAAATTCGTAAACAGTGAACAACTTAGAGAGAAAAGTTAATTTCACTTACGTCTCAACGTTTGCTGTCTGTACAAGTTGTTCAAGAAGTTCAGGATCTTGAAGAAGAGCTAAGAATTACATGGAAAAACATATGCACATAAAGTGATTCAAATGTTTAACTTTATTCTTCAGTAGCACAGAAATAAAAAGAAGTAAATATTAAAGAACTGAACCACAAATAAGTAAATTACAGTAAGAGAAAAGGGATTAGCATTTGGGCAGAAAAACATTTAAAATATCTCTGACGAGATCATTAACCACAAGGAAGGTCAACAGATGTATATGTATGGTACATGAATAACAACCTATGATCAGAAATCAAGAAAAGTGTTTTTTGTCTTGTCATGTGTGTGGGACAAAGAAAGAATTCTGAGTTCCCTTGAAGAATTGAACCTGAGACCTCTGATGCTCTACCACTGAGCCACAGAGACCCTACAGTAAGTGAGGTCTATTATGAAGTTCACATGACACACATCCTGCATACTGCTAGGATCAGCATTGTCAATAGCATCATGTTTGTAAAGAATAACAGAGATGGTAAGTTTTGAGCTTGGTAAAGAAATTGAGGAAGATGTTTTTTGCCTTGTCACAAGTGTGGGACAAAGAAAATAATTCTGAGTCCCTGAGTTCCTGTTAGGATCAGAACATTAAAGGCATTATGCAGGACACATGTCATATGAACTTTGTAATAGACCTTGCTCACTGTAGAGTCTCTGACTGGCTCAGTGGTAGTCTAGTGGAGCATCAGAGCATGAAATCAGATGTTCACCAAGCTCATATTCTTTACATACAACCTATGATGTACAAAAATATTACATAGAATTTACATTTGGTTGATAAGTAGTGAGAGATGCTGAGGCCACGTGGTTGTAGTGTGTGGGCTTGGATCACTAAGTCCAGGGTGATTCAACCACTAACTAGGTTCTTATGTTGGATTCTTTGGTAAGTCACTACTGTCAGAGAATATTTCTCCACCTAGGATTATCAATGGGTACCTGAAAACTGTTTGGAAAACCTGGCAAATTAAAGGACAAGGGGGTGACTTTGCAATATGCTGGTATCTTGTGCAAGGGTAATTAACCATACTATCACAGCATGAACCCTCTGCCTTATAACCTGACATTATGTCATAAACAGTTATAACAATTCATTGTAATCAGAAATACTCACTCATAGCAACATGATCAGATGATAATCCTGGAGTGGCTACAGTCAGTTGTTCAAGCATGTCTGGATTGGTAAGAATTTTTTCAACCTGACAACAACAAAAAAAACCAGTTGAATCAGAAAAAAAATACTTTTTACTCCTAAAGTTTTTTATGAAAAACAGCAAAATTTTCAAGAGATCTGAAACTTACTGTATTTCTGTAGGAAGGGCTCTTGATGGCTGCCTCTAAGACAGGGATCACTTCAGTGATTGGCACATCATCTGAATCAAGTTCTTTTGGGTGAAAAATTAAATGACATTAAACAAAAAAAAAGGATGTGTTTGCTTTAATTAACAATACTATATTAAGAAATTGAACTGAAAAAAATTAAAATAATTAGGAAGTGGCCTCTATATACCAAGCTATAAAGAAGAACAGACATTTACAATTAAAAGTAGAGAGTCTACCTCTGTAGCATTCTTTGTCTCAGAAATATTCAGAATTTACAATTTCTGACCCAAGGTATTTCATAGCATCCAACATGAATTAAGTATTAAGTCTATTCTAACACTAGATGAGCTAAGGAGCTCAAGCGCATAGGAAAAAGGTCTCATTGTGCTTGCTCTGTACTTTATCTAGTTAGGTGATCTTGCCTCACTTGTTTGAAAGGGGATAAAACCCTCTCCACTGGATTTATTACTATCCAGCCTAAAACTGTCCACAGAACAAACCAGATAGCAATTGATCTACTGCTTGTCTAATCATCAAACAACTTAACTTGGATGACTGAATTTTCCAAACATAACTTGATACAACCTGACTTCCTGAATAACTGAATAAAGGGGGTAAGTTTCTAAGGAAACTGTGGTGCTGCATCAGTGGGAGAGTATAGCAGGTAATTTAGTGTTGACAACTGAGTTGAAAATGTAAATTGGTCACTATAAAGAGTGAAAAGGCTGACATTTCAAGTATTAGCTCTTTATTAGAGTGATTGTCCCCAATTCCTCCGACAAAGGGCTAATGCTCGAAACATCAGCCTTTTCAATCTTTACAGTGGCCAATTTATGTTTTAAACTCAGTTGTTAACACTTAATTACTTACTTCCTGAATAACTGCCTTTAATTTGGCAAGCACATATATTCTAAAAAACAAATGCGTCATTTTCACCTATGGGTTCTGGTTCAGGGTTCTTTATCATCACATAAATAGTAAATCCATCTTTGATTCCATAAGAGTCCAGAGTTTTCTCGTCCTTAAGCAGTTCTCCAGCAAATATAAAATCTAAAGAAGACAATTTATAGCTTCAGTGAATCTATCGTATGGGTCAACAGAGTATAAAATATAATTTGTAAATCTTACATCTCAATACTTAAAATATCTGATAACCATCTTAAAATACAAGGGATCTGATATAATATTTCCAACTACTTGATGAGCTAAAACATTTTCAACAAAATAAAAAGATTTCCTTCGATCGAGTGTTTTCTTTGGTATTTTTACAGTTTCCCGGCATCCACGACAGCTGCACGCTTGTTTCACAATGATGTGTTCCTTGACTTTTCTTATTGACCGCTTTTAAATGAAAGATGGCAGACTGGTTTTTTTTCAAGCATCAAATTGAGAAGTTTTATGGAGGAAATGGGAGGATATAGTGGTAAAAATAGACACTTTTATGGGTTAAAAAAGTCCAATGATCATCTCACTCTGCTGGTCAATCGGTATGTTCGTCTTCGCTGCTGCCTTTTCCTTCAATTCCTCAACTTTGCAACTTAACTCGATGTCATCAATGATATGCTTAGTATTGTGATAAGCTTCTTTGATTCGAACACACGGCATTTCTTAGCGTTCTTGTAAATATGTCAATGACTTTTTCGCCTGCAGACGTCGTCACCTATTGAAATTTACCTCACGGCTATTTTTCGCAAGGCATCAAAAGTGTCGACTACTTGGAGAATCTGGAGCTAGCGATTTGATTGGATAATGGTAGCTTCTAAACTTCGCGCGTCTCGTTAGATGCAAATAGAAATCAACAAGGAATGGAGTTCCTTAAGTAAGTTGCCATCTCATGGACCAGTTCACAGCTGGATCAATCGTATGGGCAAGTGCCCGTAGAGACATTTTTTGGCCTGGCGTGGTAAGTTTTCATTGTCATCATTTGTTTCCTTCTGTGGTCTCAGTAGTTAACGTTCTTTATGTCCTTTGATCGTACGAAGTAGCTGCAAACTTGGGAAGGGTAGCTTAAAGTTTGAAGAAATGAAGTTAAGATCGAATTATTTTTTTTGTATGGAACGCTTAGAAGCGAGGTAACCATATGGCTATTGACTTGCAACTATCATGAAACGAGCAATTGCCCTTGCATTCTGTCAGAGTCTTAATACTGTACTCAGATAATCAGAGTTAACATCAAGTTAATTTAGTAGGTCAGATGCCCAGATTTGTTAAAATACGTCCTTTAAGTCAAGCTCAACGAACTCCCTCCCCTTCGCCTCTATAGCTCACCAGAAAAGACCTTTGATTTCAATGTAGTTTTCATTGTTTTTCTTTCTGTCATTGTAATTGATTGGTACGCAATAGCTCTGTTACACGCAGTACCATTCCGATGACAAGTAAATAACCCACAGTGTCATCTTGCCACTGTCAATGTATTTCAGGTGGTTGACGCTAAGGACACTGCACCTATACCAGCTAAAAAATATGTTAGCGTAAATTTCCTGATTGAGGATTCATAGTAAGTACCTTTGTTGCTAGATCAACTTCCTCTAATGTCAATTCTTGACCCTTACAATCCAAGGAAGGACCAAAACTAATATATATCTTCAATGTCAGTTTTATATCAAGCACACAAGTGACAAGAATACAGGAAGATATGAACTAGGAGATTATTTTTTGATCAAATGCAATAGGGTTAATTGTTTTGGCAACAAAATTTCTTGTTCAGAATTTAGTTTTGTACCTCAAAAGTTTTAACTATACTGCATGATTGTAACTGATTGGCAATCTATTGGGTATTTTGATCAGTGCACATTTTAGGATAAGTTCCCAAACATTTAATCAAATTTTCCTCTGTAAATATATTGCAGTGAAGACATCAAGAGTCCCAGCAAGATTTTCTTGTGGAACTGTGAAAAACAAAATACATTTATTGAAAAAGGCAGAGGTAACAAATTATTTTCAACTTTTTCACTTGGGCATTGGGTTTTCAGATTAAGATGTGAACGATGAAGTATGTGAGATTAAAAAAGATTATGAACTAATAAAAAATACACAAAAAAAAAAGCAGGTGAACTCTGGGAAGATTAATAAATCAACAAAAACAGAACATTCCTATCCTTAACAGTTTACTTGAAAAATGAAATATTTTATGCATGTAACCAAAGTTTACAAACCTTTGTTCTGTAATCCAGGTCTCCAGGATTAACATTTTTCAAAGGCATTATTTGGTGAGCTAAGATCACAATATGGTCATGGGAAATAATGTTGTAGTGCCCAGGAAAGATAAAAACTAACTAAAACTACAATGATAAGCGGCTGCTTGCCATATGACTGCCAAATGCAAGTCACAAATTTGTTACTTTAGTTGCAAATAACTGATAATTTTGACAATATATGTTTATTTTTGTTATCATGTCACAGCGTTAAAGAGTGAAGAACGAAAAATCATTTTTAATAGGGCTGTTGCAAAAGCAGATAATCTGTTGAAGCAAGGTGAGATTAAGTGTTATGGTCATAGCAACATCAACATTCTTTGACCCTTTGACCTCTTAGACTGACAAGCATCTAATTTCTCCTTACAATGTCACTCCTGAAACACATTGAGGTCACAAGAAAAAATAGAAATGATCATCAGCTAAAGAAGGTCTTGGTTTTGAATGAAATTCTCCTTGCTAGTAGTCTTGGCCAAAAAGGAGGCCGGGACAACTCATAGTTTATACAAAATAAGTAAAAAGTAAAGCCTTTATACAGGCCCAAGTGGCCCATGGGGCTCGTGCTTAACTTCGGTTTCAATAGCATGAAGCAGCTAGGAGTATTGCTACTCCCTCCTGGATGGGATGCTAGTCTGTCACAGGGTTACCCCCAGCATATTTGCTGTTACCCATTTGTACACCTGGGTGAAGACAAGCACTGTGAGAGTAAAGTGTCTTGCCTAAGAACACAACACAATGACCCCAGCTAGGGCTCAAACCAGGACCACTCGATCCGGAGTTGAGTGCACTAACCATGAGGCTACCATGCCTCCACACAAAACAAGGAATTGTGCATAATTTTACTCTTCCTAAGTAATGGTTGTCTGGTTGTGGGTCACTTAGTTTATAAATGACAATGTTCTGCTGTGATATTTGTTGGTTGTAGTCATCTTTGTTTCATGCAGTTTAACTGCAAAGTATTTCTAAACACCATAACAGACAGAGACCAGTTTTGGCACTAGACAGTTTATTAAATGTATATATCCAACATAAATAACACACTAGATTGTTATATAAAAGATATTGGAGGAATACACTAAACCGACAGTCCAGTAATCGGTAAAAGTGAAGAACAGTTCCCAAAAGATACTGTTGGCCATCTGTCAGCCAACAGTTGGCCAACTGTTGGCTTACCATTGGCCAACAGATGGCTGACAGTTGGCCAACAGTTTTCATAATGTTGCAGACGAAAGTGTCAGCTGACAGTTGGCTAATAGTTGGCCGTCTGTTGGTACCTGTCAGCAATGTGTCGGTAAGTTGTGTGCTGAAATGATTGCAAACAGTTACTTATTTATCACTTCAACAACTACGTCGAAACAGGAAAAATTAATTGAAGAGAGATAGTTAGTATGGCTATTGCCTAACTTGCTTGCATTGGCTAGTGAAACATGCCTGTATTAGTTCGATTTCATTTGTCAGCCATATTGAAAATTTTTCCCAATCCCCTAAACAAAATTTTGATGTCCTGCCTGCGAAACCCTGTTAGGATTAGTTAGGAAGTAGGTAAATACAAAAACTGGTATATACAGTCTGTCAGTAATGTGTCGGTATCATGTCGGCCGACAGGTTACCGACAGCTGAACATGGGAGCTATTGTTCACTTTTACCCAGTAATCAAGAATAAATTACAAACATGATTGAGATTAAGATACGATCAAAACTGTTGATGGTGTGGGTGGGATTGGGAAACTCAAACTTTCTTAAAGCTAGAAATAATTGCTTGCTTTCTAGATTACTAATAAGACATGCACAGATACCTTAGCGGTAATATACTAAAGTAATTTCACAATTAAAATGCATTAGCATAGTGAATAGCCATTGGCTCTACCCAAGTCATATGACTTGTATGCTGAACAAATTGCTCAATCTTAAGAAAAGAGAAAGTATTAATATGCACCCTACCTGTTCCCAGTCCAGGCCTCCCAGTAATCAATGTCTAGATTCATATTAATAGAAATTAATATTCACAATAATTTGTTATTTATTGGGATTTCAGACGTGGAAAGAAGAGTTGTAAATTCCTCAGAAACTCAGAAGATTCCAAATGTGACAATTAGAAGAAGTATGATAAAACAACATTTGGAAAGTCTGGATGGAGCATTGGAGCAGAATGGTAGCAACTGTGAAGTGGAATTGGACACAGCTAAAGCAAATGAAGAAAAAGGAATAATGAAAAGTCAGAAAGAACATGTGTTGAAAGGGCAGTCAAATTACTTAACGTCAGAGGCCAATGAAACCAAAGAGCACTCACAAGCCTTCCAAAGACATCAGAGCTTGTCAAAGGAAAAAAGAAAACGAAAGGAAAAAGACCCCTGCAAAAAAATATTACAAGCAAAGAAAGCAAAATCAAGTGATCAAGTTGTACGAAGTGAGGTAAAACCAGAGCAAAATGAAAAGAATGTGGAAGAGTTGGATCTGAGGACATCAACTTGTAACAAAGATAACCTTGTTGCAGATGCAATCAGTACAAACGGTAATAGTAGCATCACTTCAGAAGGGAGCTCTGATGATGAAGAACTCATGTCTGAACTATTTTCTCCAAGCCAAGAAGCTGATAGTAAGTTAAATGTTCTTGTTTTTTAAAAGAGTTCTTTTTTACCAGCGTGTTCAATCTTCAAGTAATCTGTTGATCCAACAAAAGTGTTATGCTTGACCAGGAATACTAAGTATTTTGTCTTAAGTTAAAAAAAAAAGGTAATGCATACAATGTTGTATAAATTAAAGAAGATAGATGATGATTGATAATGACAATAATCTGAACAATAATGATAATGATAATGGTTTCACTTTAACAACAAAATCAGTAATCTGTCGATTGTAAGTGAAGTCTACATTAAATTTATTCACAAAATTAACAGACAATCTCCTTAATATTGGCTCCATTTTTTGTCAAGATCATTTTTCAGTTGGTGATATTGTTTGGGCAAAATATTATCGTGAACCTTATTGGCCTGCTGTGGTAAGTTTTCCTCATTTATTTGAATCATTATATCATGTAATTACTTTTATGAAAAGAAGAAATTCCTCCATGAAGCTTTCTATACAGACCATGTGAAAAAAAATAAAAACCCACTTATTTTAAGCATGTCTTTGTAATAATTTTACGTTTACAAACATGTACAAAATTCTGAGTTCACAGACAGACAGTAATGAACATCATAGTTGTGTGTTCATATAATTTCACTAAAGCGCATTTACTCAATACATTGAAGATGTATTATTTAGAACTTTAAAATGTGTGCAAGAAACTGAACATTTTAAAAATGTTTGTGACATTTTGAATTGTGGTCATAATTGTATTTTTACACTTAAATTTTTATTATTGACATTGCAGGTCAAAAAAATCATTGGAAAAACAAAAAAAGAAAAGAAATATGTGGTTAAATTTCTTGGCTGGGATGATGGCCTGTAAGTTTCAGGAATGCCCTAGTGGATTTATAGTATAATTGATATTGATTTAGTAAATAACTTCACATGTTACTTGTCTTCAAATATGTATAGGTTCAAAGTCCAACCCAAAAAGTTAGAACATTATGCTCGGGATCAAAATCGAGAAAAATTCATGGTATGTCAAATGAAGAGTGTTTAATATTTCAAGTACATTAAATTTATATCTTACTTACTTATTGAAAGTATGTGCAGTTTGGATTTGTCTTACTTCTTACATTACATTTTTCATATTTTAGTGAATGATGCACACATATAGAGAACTATGACATGGGGTGAAAATAACAGGTGTGTTTTTAACTGTCTGTAGCCTGTCAGAGACACCCTGAATGATAAGGACTTGGTAGTGCAGTTTGATCTAGCTGTTGATGAGGCTGATGATTTTCTAACAAGGAAAGGTCTGAGATTTTTGATAACTGTTATGCACTTCTTTGTATTTAATTTTTGATACCCAAGTACTTGAAGTCAACTGTCTGTAGCTGCTGTTAATTGCAGAAGTATTATATCACAATCATTTGACTTGTATGTGTTGTATAACAACGATTTTAAGACATTTGGAACTATTTATTATTTTGTTTAAATCTGAATCATTAGCACTTGGTAAAAGTCTTGATGAGGAGCTTGATTCAAAGATTAACAAAGGTGAGCTGCAAATATGTAGGACAGATTCTACTCTTGGGGGTACCTCATAGGTATGAACACTGACTGGTAGTTACACCACGTCAGGTTGTGAGACGCATGTAGCTAGGTCAAAGGTGAAAAGTTGACAACTGTATATACTATCCAATTAGCCCACTAGACGGGAGATTACCCAGCAAGCTTAGCATGATACAACGTAAGGGTATTGCTATTCCAATCTGAGGATATGCCCAACCATTGTAGGTTAGCACAGTGATTGTTGTTACCAACAGATAAGAACCATACAAGACATACAATAGAAAGGTAGTGACTGTTTTACACCGTTCACAAACGATATCTTGGTTTATGTTTTCCAGACGAAATAATTTTTGAAGAAATTGAAGAAGAGGATGAAACGCAATCTGCTGGTGATGTACAAGCAGAGGAAGAATATCTACGAACTCACAATCCCTCTGAACGAAGGAAGTCATACCGAACAAAAAGGTAAGTTTAGGCGACTTCCTTTCACGCCATTGCTAAAAAAGGATTAAAGTGACAAAGCGCAGGGCATAATCGTTACTTGTCTGGCAATATATAAATGACGATCTCAATATGATTTTTTCAGGCAAGTGTCGCAGTACGGGGACATATTATCGTACATCAGGCAGGCAAAAGTGAGTATCAAAACGCAAAATAATGAGCAATTATGTCATAGATAATGATATGATGTTTCAATTTCAAGTGGTTTTTCATTTTGGTGGTTTCCTAAACGGCCTTAAGTATGGCATACTTGTGAAAAAGAAAAGCTTAAAAAATGTCTTAGCTTGTGAAGAGAAGCTGTTTCGGTGTGAGCTGAAGGATGTTCACACGTGACACCGAAATATGTTACAAAGACTGAAAGCAGATCTTTTCTTTTTCAGAACTTTTTACTTTAGGGAATCTAAAAGCTTTGTGTATAGAAAAAAATATATGCAACTTCTCATGTAACATGGTAACTATGATTCCAGCTTTCCGTCTGAAATAGCTAATTAAGTTGACTTCTTTGTTCGATTACTTTTGTGCAGCCAATCTTGAAACAGATTTTAGATGGCAAAAGATCATCCGAGCGCCATATGACTTTCATGAGTGGAACAACTAACGAAAAGAATCAGTTAAAACACCGAGCAGGGTTTGGTCCTGTCGGGAATGAGGCGGTGGTAAGATTGAATTTTTTTTCCATCTCTTTATGCTTCTAAATTATACAAAAAAGTAGCTTATTTTGAGGGCTTGATACGAACGTGAGTAACGCGCGTAAGAGAGAGCAGACGCGTGCGTGCTTGACGTTTCTCGCGTGTTTTACATGTAGTCTAAATCATCAGCGGCTAGTTGAAACGAGTTTCTGCTTAACAGGTTCTGCAAAAATGTAATAGGAAATATTTTTTATTTCTTTATCCATTTTTTTGTTAATTGGTTTTGTTTCTTTTCTTTCAACAGCGAAATCAGATTATGGATAGACTTGTGGAATTCTTCAGAGAAATAAAAGGAAACACGCTGGGTATCTCTTACGTATCAGAGGTGTGGTTACCTGAGGTACGCACACGATTTGTTATTGTATTAATTGTATATGTGAAAACAACTACGCATGTCTGAGAGGCTGAAAACAAGTGCATGTAACACTATGGCAGTGTTGTAACACGAGTGCAAACTACAAATAGCGTGCGCTGTCAAAATTTCGTCTGTATCGGCTGTCTGTGATGCTTTCTTCATGTAAATTATTAAAAAGTAACAACATGATTTCGAGTGCACTTTGGTGTTAATAAGCACTTTTTTCAGTTACTACAAAATTGCACTCGCCCCACGGGCTCGTGCATTTTTATTTATTACAATTAAATGGCAATTAACAAAATAAAATAATTACCTATAAAAAAGGAAATGCCATAAGGATGGTCTGTAAAAGAGTCCAAGACCCCATCCTCAGACAGACCACCGAACTAAATATTTAGTTTAAAAGTATAATTAATTTAATTAATATAAATAATTAAAATCTGATTAAAAAAATTCTAAAATATGTGACTATGAGTTATTCATTAAGAAGTTTCTCACGCCACGCTTAAAACTTGAGATACTAGACACTAATCTAATTGAAAATAGGAGTGAATTCCACATATCAACAATGCGATTAAAAAAACTAAACTTGAAAGTGTTTGTGCGGGCATAATTCCTCTCGAAAGTAAGTCCATCTTTCTCTCTCAAAGGGTACCTAGCAAAATCAGAGTCAAATTGTACAGCTGAAGAGATTTCAGTGTCAACATAGCCATTCAAAACTATGTTCCAAGGACAGCAAATTAAGCTTAGAGTTGCGAGTATCGTAGTCATCTTCACATTTTGTAATAAACTTCGTAGCTCCACGTTACACTCTTTCCAACGTCACGATATTTCTGGTAGTGAAGGTTGACCATACAACAGAGCCATATTCAAATTGAGGCCTAACTAGGGCGCAATAAAGAGTTCTAAGCGTAGAAATATCTCTCAAATCTCTGCAATTTCTTTTGATTAAACCAAGCACCTTATTCGCCTTGCTGGCGATCTTGTCTATGTGAGAGTTCCGGGACAATTTATAATCAGTTAGTAAAGCAAGATCAAAGAACTCAGTGGTAGCTTCAAGAGGAGTGCTACCCAGTAGTAGCGGAGCAGAGATTGGAGATCGTTATTAAAGCTCCTTTTATTTTTTTGAGCCTAGGAGGCCAGATTATTGAGATCGTCCTGAAATGATTCATGATCGTATGAACGTTGGATAACTCTTTGAAAAATTTACTCGTGCTTGATGACACTAAACTGCACTCGAAATCATGTCATTACCTATTCTAATTAAAAGCCAGAAAGGGTAGCTATTAGTAGTTTAAGGTTCAAATTCTATGAACAGCATGAAAAAATCCAATTTTCAGAAGGGAAGCTTTTCTTACCTTGACCATTTGTGTTACTTCTGTTTAAGGTTTAAGGTACTAACTGCTCTGAAACTTTCATCTATACCAATAGTAAATTAATAGCTATGTTAAATTTATATCCCAGGGTGGCGCGGCTTAAAATCCTAAATCTTACATGTTCGGTTTTTTTTTTCTGTTAATAACTGCATGTACAAGAGATTATGTTATCTTTTTACCATCCCACAGGCAATAATTTGGTCAATACAAGAGATCAATCACGTAAACAGGGAGAGGGCTGAGGAAATGTTTCTGGAGGGAAGCAAGTCCACTGTGACAAATGCTGAAGTCGAAGAGTTTAAGTCGACGTTAAAGAAAAAAGGGAGAGTAAACAGAGAAGAAGTAGAAAAGAGGATAAGGCGGGCAGAAAGAGCAATGGCTTGCTGAAAGCTGAAGATCGCTGTACCCGTAGTAAATCCACGCTCCTTTGCGTGAAAGTCTGATTTACTTACGCCGCGTTTCGGTTGTTCAGTAGCCGTAGCAACGTCTCTACAAAAGAGATAACATGTACTTTCAGGATATTTTAGCGCTGTTCTAGAATGCAGAGTAGATTTAAGATAGTCTGACAAGTGGCAGATTTTACTGGTTAAATAGCCCTTGCAATCAGTAGGACATAGCCACAGTCTCTAATACTCTTGGGTATAAAGTTGCCAAGATGAACAATAAATAGTCAGTCATAAGACGAAAGAAATTTAATCAATGATGAGGCTCACTTTATTGTGAGATTTAGAAAAAGTCCCTACTGGGTGTGTCCTGTAGAAATATCGCATCAAATGTGTATTTTTAAGCAGTCGTGGTTGCAAGTATAAATTAAGGTATCTTTATTATAGGCTTGTGATGAAAAAGATCGAGTTAGAAAAAATTCAATTTCATTCTGCACCTTACATTAGTTGACTAACACGACTAAATAACTGAGCACACTCTTACAATGAAAAGGAACAGATTTCCTTTTTAAGTGCCATGGACCTTTAGTTTGTTAACTAAACAAAAAATTAATGTTTTATAACAGGGGCATTTTATCCTACGTTACGGATAATAAAGGACCTACGATGACGCAACATTCTTGACTTTTTGTGTGTGAGATGATTGCCTTTCAACTGTTACTGAGTGAGTGAATCCAGAAATTGAAGAAAAGCTCTCTTGTGTATGTACATTATTTGCCGAAAACCCAACAAGAACGTCATTTTCATCACTCATTTGACATAGGCCTTTTTTTTTATCTCAGTATTTTGGAATACTCTCTCTGAAATTTATCTTGATAAGGAGGCTTGTGGCTGAAACTGGTTTTCTCACGTGAAGATTCACTGACGTTATTTTTCGCATGAACGAATAGTTGAATGAAGGTAGGATCTGCTTCCTCAATGTGGAAGACAACAGTTTGGATGACAAAAATAACGAAGTGTGAGATTTTTATTTATGTTTTAACTCCTAGCCCAGGCTGTTCCCGACCATTATTTGAGCCTAGAACACCAAACGTATGTTGTAATGTGGACTAGAATGTCGAGGTGGACTGGATTCCTATTAGAGTTAGAGTTGAGTTATGCTGAGAAGACGCATAGAATGTCGTGACGGTCCACGGTTGACAAAGACTGGGCTGGAGTGGGAGGTTACCTAGTTATTCGCGCGCATTTTCTTGGAACCCAGACAGACTGAACTAAGTTGCTGTTCTAAGTCCTTGTAAAATTACTTGCTTTCGCATTATGTCGAAAAGAGTTACATCGAAGCCAACTGTATCAGATAGTAGCGATTCCGATGAAGAAGAGGTAGGCGCTTGTAAGAAAGAATCAGTTGATTGCACAGTTTACAAGTTGTAAACTCAGGGTTTTATTTTTCATCTTGGCTACATTTTCTGTCTCAGATCAAACCAAGAAAGAACAAGCCTAAGAAATCGAAAAAGGAGAGTGGCACCGAACATACAGAGCCGGGTGTGTTTGAGGTTAGTTAAGACGTTGTAATACGTAGCAATGCTTGCGCTGTCCATCGTACGTAACATCGAACTAAGTGGGATTTTTTGAAACTACTGCTATTTGGCAAACAGTTAAAATTTTTCTAATCGTAAGAAGAGAGATTGATTTTTAGATTTGGGTGGAAAAAGGTTGGATTTCCTTTCCCTCTTCTTGCCTCACGTGAAGGCATCGCTGAGCGAAGGTATGGCTTAGGGAAGAGAGGGTGGGGTGGGGTGGGGGAGTTTTGCGTGAGAAATTGTATGCGTTTTGAGGTTTAGGGATTAGGGTGACTTAAAAATGAATAGAATTGTTATATTCTCGCCCAAATCTAAGACAAGTAGAAAGTGGAAGTTATTCTAAAATTCCATCAAAAGCATGTGCTAAGGATCCCAAGGTAGGGCTCACTGGGTTTCAATTGAGTCTCTTAACCTTTTTGATGTCAACATTCAGGGAAATGTTCGCCAAGTAGATGTCTTTGATGGCATGAGTGAGGTGATCTAGCATGTTACACCCAAGGTTAACTATCATACACCTTAGGCAGATTCTATAACTAAACACAGTTTTTTTTGGTGCTGTTTTCCTTTTTCAGTTAACTAACAAACGTAGAGTAACTGTGCGAGAGTTTAAAGGCAAAATCCTGGTTGACATTAGGGAGTTCTATGAAGATAGTGCTGGTGAAATGAAGCCAGGAAAAAAAGGTAAAACAAGAATATGGAATCTGAGTAGCTCAGAACCAGTTGTGACTGTCTACTGAAAGATAAAAATCCAAGAACAAAATTAAGCTCAAAATGTCTTAAGATTTAAATGGTGCTTTTCATTATTAGGGATATCACTGCAGCTGGATCAGTGGGAAACTTTGAAGAATCATATAGCTGATATTGATGAGGCAATAGAAGAGATGAAGTAATATTTGTTAGTACAAGGTACTGTGTTTGAAATCAGCCAAATGGCTCATCATTAGTGCTTTAGAAGGCTTAGCCACTGATTATCTTGATAGGAGTTAACAATCCTAGACAGCTGAAAGACTTAAAAAGGAATAAAAATAGGGACTAAAACTATTCAACTCAATTCAAGTGCTAAATTAACATGTAATTTTGTTTGTGTTTTTTATTTTTTTTCCAGGTCTTATATCACAGCTCAATGTGATATTGATGTCAACAAGTCTGGATTGATACCTAGATTATCACCTCTTTCATTTTAAGACAATTTTCAAAAAGTGTATCAAATGTTGTGTTTCACAATTTGTTTTGTTCACGTATTGAAAAATCCTCTTATTGTGACCTTGGATGGCATGTGGCCGATTTTGGTTCTAAATAAAAAATGTTAAACCAATAAGTGGACAGATTTTGCCATAACTTACACTCACTGTTGTCTACCTCATATTCAGCACTCACACCTTTGGGGTCATAGGTTACTTAGATGCTACACACTCTTGAAAGCCAAGGAGTATTGAAATCTTAAAATCCCATTATTAGACCTTGCATGTGTATGGGAGGAGGGCAAAAAACTTGAGCATCAAAGGTACTCCTTCCCTGATCTATTCAAAATTGACCATTTTTTCCTGCATCAAAAAATTTGTTACTGCTCCTACACTTCTTTGGTTAAAACATTGTCAAAACATTGAAGATGGTAGTTCAGGAGGTGATTTATGCATTATTTTCCTAATATTAAATCCTAATTTAAAGCTAAATGTCAGTTTTGGGGAAAGACTTGACAGAAAAAGTATAAACCTTGTTGCAAAGCTGTAATATGGAATAAAAAATAACTGAATATTTTTAACTTATACTCTGGTTTAGAGAATTTGTTTTGAACAGACCAGCTTAAAGGAGCACATGCAATTGATCTGTTCAGATCTAATGATAAAATTTATTGACAGCCCTGTCAGTAACTGAGGTCCATAAGTAAAATACTGTTAAAGGAATACATAAATAAGCACTGTTGTGTTGGAATCTTGTACAAAGACTAAAAGTGCAATGAAATGATACATAGTCACGACATTTTAATCCACGATTGTTTGAATTGACACGAATGTCACGCCAAAAAAGTTAATGTTCTACTGAGGAAATAACCGCTGACCACCTACTCTTGTTTTTTTGAAATTTCAACGGTAAGAAGAGCGGTATGAACATGGCAGCTTCTATCGAGTTTAGAGTGCCTCAAAACAATCCAATAAGAGCGAACCTGCGAGCAAAGAAAAAGCTGCCGCAGAAAACGCGATCGAAGGGACAACTTGAACATCGATCTTCTGCAATCTTGCCATTTTCGGCTTGGGTAGAACCGCATCGTGGACCAACTCATGGAAGCTCACTTGGAGCCCGTGAAGAGGAACTCCGACTCAGAAAAGTTGTACAAGAAAAAGAAGAAAGGCTCAAAGAATTCCAACAGGTGGTAAAAGCGAGAGTCAGAAATATTGAGCATATGAAACGAGAGGAGCAACATGGCATGTCGATGGAGGCTTTTGAAGTGGAGCGCAATGTTGTGCGCCAAAGTTCTTTACCAAGTACTATCAGACGGGACAATTGTGTTTATCGCGACCAATCTGAGCTCAAAATCCAAAGGAGCGTGACTCGAGATTTCACAGCAGTAGATACTGCAAGTCAGCTATTGGATGAACATGCGAAAAAGATCAGAAATTGCTCGAAACATGCGAGGAAGGTTCTCAGTTCCAAAAGTCTTGGAGCAGAAGTTGAGCACTATAGTAAACTCCTTCCTGGAGGCTTGTGGCGGACGTCTCCAACTAAAGATCATGGTTTATCCAGGCAGCCAGTTTCTAACTCAGAACAACAAATTCTCAGTAGTGATTCATTAAAAGAAATCGGTGATTATTGGATTGGAGAAAATGCCATACAAGATCAAAGTTTGGACAATGATCACTTCATTCCAGAGAGAGGTCTGCCGGTAAGTGGAGACCAGGCATCATCTGAGAAACATGTTCACTTTAAACATGGCGAGAATGCAGAGATTGAAAACCAGGACTGGAAAAGCCAGCTTCAAAAGATTGATGATGCATCGGTCAAGAAAAAAGACAATTATGTTGAAATGCTCTTACAGCCCTCTAGGCTTTTGGAAGAAAAAAGGGCACATGCAAAATCTCAAGTTGCTGTGTATAGGAGGCTGTTTATGGACATTGAAAGGGAGCAAGTGAGGGAAAACATTCGAATGAGGGAGCATCGTAAAAGAATGGAAGCTCTGAAAGTTGAAAAGGAAGTTGAACGCCTTGAGGTAGAGCAACAGGAGGTCGAAAAGCTAAAAATGCAAAGAGTCAGAAAAGAAGAGGAGTCTTTTCTCAAAGCTCAAAAGGAAAAGAAAAAGGAAATGGATTTGGTTAGGAGACAAAAAAAACTTCAAAAAGAGAGGGAAACAGAGAGATACATTGAAGCTCTACAGACTGTTTTAAGAGACAAGGCCCAAAGCAGGAACATTGTTCTTCCCCCCTTGTGTTCCTGCGGGCTAACAATCTGGGACACGAACCCTGATACCTGTGCTAACAACTGTGTTTTTTATAAAAACCCAAAAGCTTATGCTAAAGCTTTGTCCACAGTACTGGCATCCTCAAACCTTGATTGATTATAACAAAGAACTCACAGAAATACTGTTATAGGCCTTCATTACTCTGACATCTGTAGAAGATCAAGAAGTCAGGGTTTTCATTAAGAAAAAAAGAAGCAAGAGAATACTGTAAAACAACTGGTGAATGTTCTTCCTTGCTAAATGAGGAGGAGCTTATGCAATTAAAATTTACCCAGATAATTTGTGCAGCAGATGGACAATTTTCCAATCTTTAACACCCAATGAACAGCCAGTCAATGAGCAGTGATATAAAACTAGAAATCATCACCGGTTTATATTTAATTACCGAAAACTTCAAGTGCAGAATGATGTTGCCTGTGAGAGCAAAAAACTTTTTCAGCAAACTGAAAAAGGTGTCTGCTCTCAAGAGTAGAAAAAGATGCAACAGCAATCAAGTCTAATTTCTACATTCTATCCAAGTAGACAAATGATCATCAACATCTCCACTCAATTTTTCTAATCCAGGTAAAGGTAAAATTCTTATATATAGCTTTGCACACCTTTCACCAACTTGCTTTGATTGCTGGCCTGATCTATCAGGCAAAGCTGCTTGTCTACCTGAGCCAGAGAAAGCCTGCTTGTAAGCTATCTTATACATTCTCTTTGTCAACCAATCTCTATCTTTTAACCACGTTTGTGGGTAAAAATGAAATATAATGAGCTTACCCAGCAGTTAGCTAATAAATTTATTAGTGATTAAATGTTACAAGTTCATAATTTTTTTCATTGCAAACATACACTCCAAGAAATAAACTACAAAATTTAATAAAATGTCACAACCGCTGTTTTGCTCCAAAAGGAAGTTCATCTGCAGTCTGTTCACTAGTATCTGCATCACAAGCATCACTTGTAGATACTTGAGGTTCATTAGATCCAGGGTTAGAGCTGTGACGCAGATTTTGCATTGCCTGTGAAGTATGCAAAACAACTAACATTACAAATAGGGCAATTGAACTAAACGTTTCTTTTCTGTCTTTGAAAACAAATAAGTACCACTTATTTTAATCCAAGTGTTTAAAGAGTGCAAACATACCTTTTGGATGACTTTATGTGACTGAACTATTTCTTTTGTAATTATTGGGTGAACTTCCCTTCGCAAGTTATCCACTCACCTGATAATAACCTGTGTGGTAGCCACTCAAGTACCAGGCCATTAACATACTGGCTAGTGCATCATTGTCATGAGAAACATCACTACTGTTTACTGGAGCTGGAGGAGGAGGCATAGGTGCATGTGGAAACTGTTGATAAAGAAGAAGTACTAACTGTAGAATTGACACATTTAAGTAAATTTGCGAATAACTAGACTTAAGACCTAGGCATACAGGTTTGTGATCTGACTGACAGAACATTACTGATTCTTGTCCTTAGGAAGGTTGGCACTTCTCCAATGTTTACTATCCCATCTATTTTTCCTTTCTGTTTGCTCTCGGTTGTAAATTAAAGGACATTCAATTCTACACACATTCTAGCTCTATTGGTAGATGGAAAAAGCCCTTGGTAGATGGCACAGGGAAGAAAGAGGAGTAAACTGAAGTAGAACTAAAGAAAAGGAAGAATGTGGTTCACTCCTATGTTATACCATTAGTTGGACAACCCGGGTTCTAGTCCTGGCCAGGGCAAGGTGTTGTGCCTTTGAGATGTGTGGGAAAAAAAAAAAATGCGAGCTCTGCTTTTAGGCTTGGCTAAATCTATATATTTAAGTTTGTAAATAGTGGGTCAAAAAAATCTTGAAAAAAAAAAAGATAAACAAGTAGCTATTACTCTATTATAACTTGCCATTCCTCACTGAATTTAGCACAGTTATTTCATAGATCCTGATGCTCCAAACACTTGTATGGGTTACAGTGCTGTTAATGATCTACTTACGGAGTTTGTAGGTGCTGAGGGTTGTGATCCAACTGCATTTGGCCAGTGATGAGGAAGGAGCACAGGGGGAACAGGAGGAGGAGGAGGACATGGTGTAAAGAAATTCATCTGAGAAAATGATTTAATAAATGGTAAATATAAGGAACAGTAGACAGTCAGTATTTGGAGTCATTTAAAGATCTCTCTTTCTCGATGGTGAATAAAAATGCAGTACTTTTCTCTACTAATTCACTGAATACTTACAGGAAACTGATGGCTGGTAAATGGGGCTCCTGACACAGGGTATCTTTGGTCAGTTAAGTAAGGATGATGATGATTGTGATGGTGGGGGCGTACTTGGCGCGACGAGTGTGAAGGCCTCAGTGTTGATAGGTCTACATCTTGTCTGAATAGTAAACATTGAAGCTAATAAACTCAACCAGTGCTACTTTACTTTTTGCTTGGTAAAACTTTGATACTGGAGTCTTTTTTCAAAACTAATACAAACATGATGGTTCTAACCTTTGTCTGGATCTGAGGAAAGTGACCTTGCAAGTGTATGGTGTTGGAAAAGAGTTAATAACTGCTTCATGTAGGTGCTGACTTGGTTGTTCTGGAGCTAGACACAAGTCACTTACTTGCCATTTGATGGGTGACTGGCCCCCAGTACTCCAGTCCATTTCATTATCACCACTCTAATAAACAATCACAACGAGAGTTATATTGAACTAGAAAATGTAGAACACTGTGTACCATCAGTAAACTCAAAACTATGGTTAACAATTACATTTTGTTCAGGGGAAGCCAGCTGAGCACAATGATGTCCACTTTGTCTGGGAGACTTAAAATCTCTTTTGGATGGTGGCAAAAGATCATCTAAGTTCTTTTCTTCTTCATTACCATAGCCAGAAAACCTGACTACACAAGTATTGGAACTGCCATCAAGCGAGATTACCACTGCATTATAAATCTGTTCATCTTCAGAGTAAAAAGCCCGGCATTTGTCACCAACATGCCACTGAAAGAAAAGTTTAATACATCAAATTTACACTTAAATGTATATAAGATTCATTTCTCAAACTCTAAATGATAAAACATTTTTTACATATCAAAAACTTTAAATGCATTCGTACCTCCTAGTGTTAGGATGGGTTACTCTACTAGTTCTGTTGGAACTCACACATGGATATTGAGACTTGACATTAAGTTATAACTGACTCCATCTCCATTGTCATAACAAAGTTAGCACAGGATTATTTAATTCTCCCTACCAAAATTGAATTTCTTGCTTTTCTAACATTTGTCCCAACTTTACCTACCCTAAGATTGTCTAAAAAAATCTAAGAAATCATCCCTTGCACTTCCAAACATTTCCTAATTACTATTTCTTTCTTAGCATTCACAAAATAATTTTCAAAACTAACACTTGCCTCAAATGTCTGCCCTGTTGTTTTCTTCTTGTCCTTTTTCTTTGAGGACTGTTGTTTCCTAAAAAGTAAAGTTTGGAAGAAATAATATGTGCAACACTTAACATAGAATGAGGAGTCCTCTGAAACAACACAGGTGTTTAGGAACATCCTGAAGGAGTTTAAATGCAACTGGATGAATTTCAAAGATTATCAAAAGCCTTAGTTAGCAACTTGTTAATAGCTCTCTACTTTAGGAGCAACTTCAGCTGTTATTGTTGATATCATTCTCACAGTTTTACATATTTTCTAACAGAGTTTTCATCTCTCCCCTGATGATGAAAACAGAATTTCTGCAATGTTTTAACTTGTACCTGTTTTTACCACCATTCTTTCCTTTTGTGCCACCATTCTTCCCTCCATTCTGGTTGATGAAACAGTCATTAAAAAAGGGATATTACTGAACAACATGCCATACATTAAAATCACAGGCAGAAAAGAAGAACATTGTTAAAAGAAAAACCAATGAAACTTAGATGTATAGCAAATTATAAAACTAAATATTAGTAATTTTACCCATTATAACTGAGAGGTTAAAATCAAGCTGAGCAGAGAAAAGTAATCTTAAGAATTTATGAACACTTGCAACGAAGTAATAAGTTAAGGCTTCCCACTGTCATAGAGAAAGTAAAGAACAACTTGCAAATACCTTAATAGCATTTATTGCTCGATCGTATGCCTCTATTAGTGCGGTGTCATCCCAGATGTCTGACGTGTCAGCCTGCTAGAAAAATTGTCAACAAACTCAAAGATTTTAGGACACATTCTCAAAACTAAGTCTCTTTCACTAACCGTAGACGATCTATGACTAAACATTGCTGGAATAAACGTTTACGGTTTGCATTGGTGATGTGGATCTAGGTATGAATTATAAGGCTTCCAAAGGTATTTTCTTCGAGTTAAGGAGAAAAAAATATGGTTGTATTCTGTCAAATAGCCTGGGCATTAAAGATGGTCAAACAAAATTGCATCCAGTGCTGGTATCAGCTGACGGCTGTGTTGTAACATCTATGTTTGAGACGGTAGCCTTGAATATACAATTGTTTCTAAAGCGATGTAAAATCACTCAAAATAAAATACTAACATAATAGACCTAAAGTCCCGAAGATTGTTTAAAACGTCGCGCTTTCATACCTCGCCAACTCTGAAAATTACATCTCCACTCTTGGCCGCCATTTTACAATGACTTCAGTACCAAGCCTCGCGCAACAGTTGGTTATTGGGAAAACTAAGGAAAACTGGCTCTAGCAGCACGTGGACTCGCTAGACTGCGAGCTATTATTTTCTCATTTTGCCACTCAGCTTTCTGAGATTTTGCTTTGATGTTCACCGTCATCCTCAACTAATGTGGGTATTACTTAAGGTGGTCAGGATCTGGTAGTAACAGTTGATCATATATGTGATTGTCCGGGTTAGGGTATCATGGGTAGCTCTGAGAAGATTCGTTGTACAAGAAAGTGACGAAGTTTTAACTAGTTTCACCAGTCTTCATCATCAAGAAGAACCGTCAGTTAATGTTCACAACTCCCGAAAGTCATGTGGCCTAAAGTCATGTGGCCTGGAACCTGAGTCACGTCAACCGAAATTTTAGTCATGTTACTTTTCACTTCAGGCGACACGACTAAGATTTCGGGAGACGAGACTAACGTTCCGGGCAAATTGACTTTGGAGAAGACGACTTTCCTGCGATTTGGCCTGTTACCGATTGAGGACTTCCCTCACCTACACGATAAATTAAATGTATTCAAGTGTGGAATAAATCATCAGTAGAAATAGAAGCCTAAAAATTTTATCCAAATACGACTTCACTTGTAAATGGCATCCCCCTATTCACCTCCAAAATAAACTGCACTGCGATAAGGAGGCCATAAGATATATCTCATGAAGATAACAATTGCTTGATGGGTTTGAGCAGATTGACAAGAATCAAAATGCTTGACAGTTCTCACTTTCAAAATACAATCCAATCTTTGTTTATTAGGAATCCTTTTAAAACTATTTTCTGAGCTATAAGCCCCTGTGTACAAGTACGAGAGGTCTTGCTGCAGATATGGTAGCTATAAGCTGTGTGCTTGTGGCTGCCTAATTCGAATTAAGATCATGGCACAAAAGTATAATAAATAATATGGCCAACTACTGTTATGCTGGACAACTGTAGTGTTCATTCTTTTCCTTAGCTTGTCATGCAAAATAGCAAAATTGTAGCAGCAACGGCAGTACTCCATTGCAGACAATTTAATAGTATTATAATTAAGTGATATCAGCTTTGTATATCTGTTCTCAATTCTGTTTTTCTGCAAGATTGTTTTATAATTAAAGAATAGAAAAATACAATGGTATTGTTCAAGATGTCCAAACAACTATTTTGAGCAATCCTTCCCCCCTCAACAGGCTTGAAAGACTAGTTCCACTAGCTGATTTGCTTTAGCATAGCGAAGATAATAAGTCTTAGTGAGATTACTAGATCCTCAAGGCTATAGGGTGAGTCTGCACGTGGTACATGAACAAATGCCACAGTACCCCTGCCATGTCCAAGATGAAGAGATTTGTAGTAAGAATAATCACACAAGAACCTGAGAATGGAAAGCAAAAATACACATGATTAATAAATCAACACTACAGATCTGACCAATCATTTTCCAATGCTGTTTATGTTTCTGCAAAAACCAAACAAAAGAACAAATATTAACCTTCCTGCATCATCAGAAGTTCCTACAAGACATGGGCTTTTAGCTGTCATCACTTCAGAGCACAGTCTGTCCAAATCAAGAGAAGTAAACAGGCACTCCTCTCCTCCTGAACAAATCACATTATTTTAGTATCATGAGGTATCACAACTGAAACATCTACAATCTATGCAGACACAAAGCAAAATTTTTAAGGCCTCCATAGCTATTTGCTGACTCACCAGGGAAGCAGGACAGGACAGGGAAGCCTGATTCTAGGGGTGATCCCAAGAATGAAGGCAGTGGAGGGGGGGGGGGGGGGGTACTGTCATAGGAACATACTGAAAAGTCAGGCTCTTGGTGAGAACAGCTGTCACCCCTTTTTGTCTGCAGTCAACTTAAAGAGGAAGAACTACTCACCATCAACACAACAGCCTTTTTCACATTTTTTGCCAGTCTCATCAGGTCTGTTGTAGCCATAGTTATGACCACACATCTCCAGTTGAATGCTGTCTGCAAGACCATGGACACCCACATGTACGCAGAGCTGATAAAGGGAGGAAAATCAGTGCTTTAAGTTACCCAGTTTTGACATCAATGCTACAATGGTGTAAATAAGGTTGGGATCCCCAGGGGCATGCGATATCTCTTTATAAAGAAAATATGATAATATATATCTTCACTGTAATAACAGTGGTCTTTATGGTAGTCATCATCATCATCATCATCATCATTACCGTCATAACTGCTTTCCTGAAGCAGAGTTGTTGCACTGTCCTATTCTACATCCTCTTATTCATCAAATTATCTAAAATCCTCACCATATTTGAGGTCAACCCTCTGCGTGCTGAGAAGAAGTATCTTCTAATGATGATAAAGATCTCTGAAGTTACCTTGGGTTTTACTTCATTCCATAACTGAGGAACCTGTTCATCCACTGCACAGTACTCCACAGGAATCTCCTTTATCACCAAATTGACTTCTTCTGCAAGATCAGTGTTTGGTAATTCCTAAGATGTTAAAACAGATTTACTGAACATGGAGATCTCTACTGTCACAGTCTGAATATGGCCAAAATCACATAAACTACATGTAAGTATAGGAATAATAAACAGTATGGTAAAAGGAGCATTTAAAAGAATCATGGTGTACCTTGACAGCCTCCCAACTGGTATTAACTTGATGCAAACCAAATGGACCAAACCCTGCCAGATAATAGAAACACAAAATGATAGTGACCCTTATTAGTTTAAAAAAAATTGCCACAACTGTTTACTGACATGAGGCCCTAATTTTGGAGAGATTCTGGGTAGACACCATATATTAAAAATTTTCCCTCAATAAGCCAAAGCTCTTGTAACTAAATTCAATTTTTTTTAAATGGATCTATCTTAAACATCAGCAAAATTATGTTGTTTTCGCACGCAATATCCTGAACCTGCATATTTACATAACCCTTCTATTCCGTGTCGGCCAGCGATTATCAATTAAAATCCATAGGTCACCACCAATTTTTTTCAAAATCATAACGATATTAATGTCATACGAGTAATCGTAACCTGGTAAAAACAAATAGCCCGGAAAGGTTTCTGCATAACCCCACACTATTCTAAAACAAAGTATTTGTCCCAGTCCAAGTCCTCTTCAGTTTTCATTTGCTTTTATTAAATATCTGTATGCATAATCAAGCAAGGCTTCATACAGAATTCTAGTACATATACCTTTGCGAAGCAATTTTTACGTGGGAAAAACGACCGATCTGGTAGCAAATCATAACATGTGCCTCACCTGTTACTAAAACCGTGGCTTTCTCTGAGGCCATGTTGACAAATGTGACCGGCTGAAACTGAGTAGGAATAACGCAAAATGTGTGCCCAGTCTCTCATCAAAGCCTCTTCCAAGATGGCGGGTCGAGGTCGAGGAAGAGGCAGAGGACGACGATTTTCCTTTGACGTAGGAGTGATTGGCTTTAAGCGTGGGGAAGCTTTACCCGCTACAATACAACAGCCTCCTCCCCTTTATCCGGTTGGTGAATTTGTTGTGTCTTTCTTACATTGAAATTACACCGATAATTAATTCAATCATAACGGGGTTCGGGCTCTTGTATTGTTAAGGAATGGTTATCGAGGCCATTTGTAAGGTCTGCGTCAGACACACTCTCCACTCCCATTCACTTCCATCTCGCTGCCCCACACTTAGTCTGCAATATACTACACAGCGGCCTATTTCTCTTATTTCCACCATTTCCTTGACTTTGCTCTATTTTCCCGGCTGAACGCTGATGATGATGACGATGATGATGATGATGATGATGATGATGATGACGATGATGATGATGATGATGACGATGATGATGACGATGATGATGACAATGATACCTACATCACCTGATCTCCGAATATTTTAGCCTCTAGATGTCAAACCATTGCCATTAAGACAAACAGATGCCGATGAATATATGCTTGCATTGAAACAAGAATTAAGAGGGTGTATGCGTGAACTACCTTATTTCGTGAAGGCAGAAATTAAGTCCAAAGGTATGAGGCAGTTTTTTCGAATTTCGCTCCTTTTTTATTCAGTAAAAATCATAAGCAGATAAGATTTGGAATAAAACACTCCACAAAATGAGCTTGGAAACATGATTGTCTCTTTGGCTGTTTAAAATTGTCCAATCTGAATTTCAGATCTTTTTTTACAAAAAATAATAGGTTTCTGGCGTTTTTCTTTTTCCACATCAGATATTGAGAGGTTTTCGGACAGATACAGAGAAAAGAAAAAGGAAGAATTAGAGTGGCAACCAGGTAAAGGCAATTTTCATAGGGTTTTATGTTTAATGGTACATGCAAGTATACAAGAATATTTATTTTGGAAATACATGATCATCAACAAAATTTGTCTGTTTCATTCCAGACTGGAGATTATTTCCAAATGAGTTAAAAATAAGAGTGAAAAAACACAGGAATCCTAGCAATGCAAGTATGAATAATTTAAATCCTAATCAGAAACAGTCCTCAAATTAGCCATTCTCACTTATGCCAGCCCTTTCCTCTCATTATTTTCTCTTCACTCCCATGATCTGGGATTTAATTTTCTCAACTCGTGAACCAATCCTTTGTTGTTGGTCAAGAAAAAGACTTAAGTTGTACATCTAAACATCTTTAACTTTTGATGACACTGATTCTCAACACCTTTTCACTCCACTTTCTATGATATTGACAAGCATTCAATTTATATGTTATTTAGTAGAAATATGACTGATTTAAAAGAAACATCTCTAGTGGGTTTATTTTTTTTTACCTTTGTGGAAGGACCAAGAATTAGCAAACAAGTTAAAAAGAATATTGTTGGTGTGGAGGCTTTGAAGCAGCTTGAGGTACCAAAAATTTAAAATATAAATTCTTCTGTGTTTGTTGACTTGTTTGTATACCTGGTTCTTAGCATTTAGAATGAATGGAAACATTTAAGAGGATAAAGTGTTATCTAGACTCACGGTAAAAAATGGTTCCATTTTTAAAAATTATTATATTTAATTAAAAAAGATACCTTCTGCTTTCATGGCAGGTGATTATTGTTATTGGGCAAATAGATTCACCATGCAGTACTTATTGCTTATTGGAAGAAAATTTCACCAATTTGTTAGGGGGGGGGAGGTAAAGTTATGGTGATTTAATTGATCCTGTATCTACATTGCCTCTCCAGGAAATGGTCCAGAAGGAGGGTGATAATGATCAAGCTAATGATCAAGAGGAAGAAGGAACAGAAGGAGAAAGTGGTGAGGAAGAACTGGAATATGACGAAGAAGAACAGGAAGAGGTAAAAAAAATAATCAACACTTGAAGCATATTTGTTTTCTTTTATCTTCACCATAACAAAAAATCATTTTTGGATGGTATGGGTTTTCATGAAAAGATATAGTGGTAGGAGGAGAAAAATGTTAAGGAACAGGTTTATTTCCACATCTGAATAAAACATAGCTCAGGCCATTGAAATATAGGCTGATGGTTCTGCTTACTAATAGAGGGTGTAGAATTCTCTGATTTAAATGCTTAATGAACACACTTTGCCAAGCAATAACTGATGCAAGCTTGAACAAAGTTAAATATCTGCCTGAAGAGTTCACTTCTCAAAGAAGTGTAGTACACACCCCTTTATTAAAACATACTGAGCCATATCTCAAGTAGATACCACTGACTGGCTGGGTTTTACATTTTCTAAATCTTGCAGGAAAACGATTACTTGGTGTCACACTTTGATGATGACGAAGATGCCTTTATGGATGATGATGACATGGATGAAGGGCCAATCTACTGATGCTTAACATCATGAAGTGAAAGAAGAAAGCAATTAGGGACAGCTTGTTTAGCTGACCTGTTCAGCCAATTGAGATTGTAATAGATTAAAAAGAGGCCAGGAGGGAGAGGCATGCATCTTCACAAATGACTCGACAAAGGATTGACAATGGGCTCAACTGGAAGTTAAGTGAAGGAAAAGCACAGTTGGTATTGTGTTACTACTGCTCTTTCACATAGAAAAGTCTTCTATCCCTTTCTGAGGATTCATTTTTACATGGCTCAATGACTGCACAGTATCTTAATGATCAATCAGAAAATGATAGATGGCAATCTTTATAAAGAAGAAGGAAAGTCACAAATACCAAGTATACAATTTGCGTACAATGCACCAGAAGATTTTGGACTATGGCAAATAAAAGGTGGTTGAATGTATGAAAACCAATGATAAAGAACTGATGGAAATGTCTTTTAAAAAACATATCATCTGATAATAGGAAAGGAGAAGCATTGATCTTGCCTATGTTGTGGAAAAGTGATGACTGAACTCACTAATTTTTTCTTACACCTTTTTCATCTTTGATGCTATTTGGCATTCAGAGTTCTACGGCATGTTCAGGTTGATTGCCCTTGCATAACACAGCTGCTGGTCTGTAGGAGAGTACTGAATTGCTTTGTCAATTATATAGAGATTGTCAATCTCTACATTGGTTTTCAATCCATTATTTCCACTCCACCATGTTCCAATTTGAGTTTTTCCACTCAATCCATTATAGGTACTTGTCCCTTTTGCAGAGTTTTCCATTTTACCATCAACAAATATTTTTCTGTGGAGATTAAAAAGATTGGTGTACCTTTTCTTGTAGATTTGATGAGGACTTTATGGTATAACAAACAAATATAAATAATTATCAATTGACCAGTATGGCTCTCGCTTGCTTTTAATGAAAAGAATTCCTGTAAAGAAAATTCTGCCATGAGGGCCTCGCCCAATGTAAAAGTAGGGGCCAGAAAAGCTGCACAGCCCAGCATACTAAAAAAGAGGAAAGAGGAAAGGAAGGAAGAGAACAACTGGTGGTCAAATGACAAAGTGTTTATAAAGTGAGCATAAAGCATCTATCTCACCGTATTCCATTAGCTTTAGTCCAAGTCCATGTGATGTGGTACCATCTTCCATATTCAAGTGCATCTTTTCCCTTAAGGTCATTTGAATAGAATCCATACACAACTTTCTGGAGAGTGCAATCCATTAACAAAAGAAAAAAATACATTTTTTTTTCAATTGGGCAAATTTAAGTCACAAAGCAAATAGTAAAGGAATGTGAAACCTTCCTCTTGGTCATCATTTTACACAGAGAAGCTTTCTAATGGCAATTTTAAAACAAACATTATTTATATTGAGGGTTAATTCATGGATATCTTTCATGGTGAGCCTACTAGTTATGGTTCTTTTTTATTCATGTATCTTTGCCCACTTGGCATAACATCAACATGAGAAAAAAACAATAGAGGTTTCAGTCAAAAGCTACTTTGCTGTTGCAAAAGAGGTCTGTGGCTGTCAGATTATACCTTTCCTCGCAATCCGAGGTGAAAGCCCTTATTGTTTGCTGGTACCCCATCTCCAAGTACAAGAACATCTTTGTTACTTCCTAGAATGCCATCATCATGAGACCTAAGTAAGGCCATAACAGACCATTCATCACCACTCCAGAAATCCACTGGGATGCCATGCAAATTGATGTATTCCAGGCCTTTGAGCCATACTGCTTGACCCATTACACTGGTGATATATTGAGTGATGTTTTGCCCTCCAGCATTACCTAGGTACTCTAAGATCAGAGATATAGATGTCTTTATCCTAAATTATGTGTTACAGTAATTCCATATTAATTTTTTTATTTTAATTGAAATCCATTACCATTTTGCATTTTTTTGTATGTTGATTACTAAACCTTTCACATTGTCATTAATTTAGTATTCATATTCTTCACACTGATCTCTTTACATTTCTTATGGTTCTGTCAAGGAGAAGTTGTTTGACAATCAGAAGCTGCTTAAATTGGTGATTCAAGGGTGATATTGTAAGGAGAAGTTATAAGCCAGTCACTCTTAGGAAGTCAGTTATTTTAACAAAAGTAGAGAACATTTGCAATGTAACAGAACTTACATAGTATCTATTACACTTGCTAGCAAACACCTCTTTATGCGCTTCCTGGGTTCTAATCACTGAAGAGTCATGTAAGGTCTTCACAACTTACATCTTACTGCACAGAATTGAAGGATATGTTTTTACCATTAGATTTACCTGTAGTGATATTATTTAAGGTTGTGTTAGGACTGAGATTTACATCCAGATTTCCATTAAACTGTAACAGCAGGCCAAATGTTGAGCTTTTAAAAGCTTCATGGTTTATCTGTGGTACATTCAGCCCTTCACACACACCTCCCTGATATACCAGCTTCTGCCAGCCTAGTTTAGTGCAAACCTACAGCATGTTTGAGTGATTGTTAGTGAATTTTGCCAAATTATATTTTGTCCTTAAGAGGTCACTACACTTACTTCACTTTCAGAAATATTCTGTAATTAACCTTTTATGACAGATATATATTCCTAATTTTAATCATACAATCATGGATGCTGTTTAATTTTTTGGCCAAGACGAAGTACCGGTACTGGTAATTAAAAAAAAAAACATTAAAAAAAAATTCATGTTCTATTCACCTAAATCTCTTATGGTCTGCAACTACTTGACTGGACCCATCAATTTATAAATCAGATTATTTGTTATTTTGAGTTAATGACAAAACATTCAGTAACTACCTGAAGAAATCCTGATATAAACCTAACTGAGCCATGATCACTTGCATTTTCACATCTGAAAAGGATACAGAGACAACAAACATCACATGGTTCCACCAGAGAATAATAAAGACTAATAATTATGTTGTTATGATATTTCATCCACACTTATCAGTAAAAGGACCTACCTCAAAGTGGTCTGATTCGAGGTGTTCAATAATGACCCTGGTGGGCCTTGCTGTCCAGGTTCTCCTTTTGTTCCTTTTGCACCAGTAGGACCCTGAATCCCATCAGACCCATTCTATCCAAAAAGTGTATATACCAACAGTTTACTTCCAGATGATTTTTCATGTTCACACCACGTCAACACACCACTCTTATTAGTGTTTGCATTACATTTCCCTGCATGCAAGTTAGGAGAACTTTTAATTAAATAAAAAATTAAAATCAACAATTTTGCATGAAGTAAACCTTATACCTTCCCTGGTACTCCTTGAATGCCTGGTTCACCTTTCTGGGTAGAAAAATTTAAATTATTAAAAAGAAAAAACCAGAAACATAAAGTCATAAGGGGTGCATTAAATACAAGTAGATAGTGAATCACACTAATTCTGTTGAGACATTGATTGAATCTAACCCCAAATATTTCTATTTTCTTTTTTGTCAACAAACAGTTTGATATATTCAATTTACAATTTTTGTAAACTGAGGTGGTATAAAATTGATCCATTACCTGCCCTTTGGTCCCATTTAGACCTGGATTTCCTGTCTTGCCTTTTATTCCCTGGTCTCCCTGTTCTCCTTTTTGTCCAGGAAGTCCAGTCATGTTTGCAGTTTCATTCTGAGTTATAAAGACATGCAAACTTGTGAAGGGATCTGTTGTTATGCAATCCAAACCATTAACAGTTTCCAGTGTTAAAAATCAACCATACAATGTGATTGATGACATTGACAATAATGATGATGATTACCATAAATGTTGTTTGTCCTGGTGGCCCTGTTTCTCCTTTTTCCCCTTTACCACCTGCCTACAGTTGAGAAAATTATACCACAATGAATAATTTAAGTGACTACTATTAATATTAATTTACACAATGATGTGATGTTTTTCCACTTTTTAGACTTTCAAACGTTTTCTGTAATTAACACTTATTTTGGAATAATGAGTGTCACTAACTAATCATTGGACATGAAGAAATTAATTTTAAAATCAAGTTATAGTTTTAATGAATTCTGTTACTCACAGGTCCTTGACCTCCTTGATCCCCTTTCTTAAAAATTCAAACAGTTTTGAGTTAGTAATAATACTATACTGCTAATCTTATGTAATTGAAGTCATTATTCATTATTAAAAAACACCAAATTTTGGAGTAAAATTGTCAAAATACCTCTCCTTTAGCATCAGAGACTCCAGACATATTCTACCAAAAGATGACAAAAAAAATTATAAGTACTCAGATAGATTAGCTACTAAAGTAGGACGGCAAAAATCTAAGGTTACCAAGAGAAAGATCATTACTTACCAGTGCATTTTTCCCAATGAAGACTTGTTTTCCCTGACCTGGTTCAAAAATGATATCACCTTCTTCACCAGCTTTTAAAACCAGGCTGCCATCTTTAGTAAATATTTTTGGAGGATTCCTAAGACAGTGAACGAAATGAAGAAAAGTCACATCTATTATAATAAACAAGATTGTGCCCTGGAGATTAAGTTATGTGGAAACAACAGTAATTTGTCTGTATTTTTTTCCCAAACTGTGCGGGCATATTTATTTCTTACTAGTATGAGGAGAGTTTTTTTTTGTCCTTTTTCGCTTTAGCCTTCATCCACTCGACCATTTTCCTAATAGTACATTCCTCACTGTTCTGAATGACTACGAAAAGTTTCCGTTCACAGTTGTGTGGTTCCATCGACTAAAAGAGCAAGTTACATGTAGTACGATAGGAAATTATCATGTTAATAAATATGGAGTTTGTGAACAACGCTATTCTGATCATGAACGCCCACTTCGTTTATTATGTGTTAAGGTAAACGAAGATTTGGACAATACTTGACCTACTTAGACCTGCAATTAGCTACAACAGTACACTTAGCACAAAGCGGACAAAGTTGTCTGTAGATCTCAAGAGCAGGCGTCATTCACATGTCATACGAGTGAAATCTTAACTTACCTTCCGTTGTTTTCTGCCCAACAACAGAGTGCCATATAAACGAATACGAGAGGGAAAAGTTTACTAGCCATAATCGCGACCGATTTTAGCTCTATTTGTAACGATCAGCTGCAACCCAGGGGCGTTCTTATGGTATTTCCTTTTCACAGCAGAAAACACGAAATTTGACCTATCCCCACTGGCAAAGATTGACAGGTCAAAAAGGATTGAAGGATATCCTCCGAGACATCTCCGCTTCCAAAACAAACAAGTCAGGATTTTTTGAGCTGCCAAATGAACTGTACGATGGTTTACTTTGGCACAATTAGGGAATTATATTCGGGTGGATAGATAACAGACATTCTCGCGCGCAATTCGCGTGCAAAGAAGCCCCAAATTGATGCGGGAACGAAATTGCGTGACTTCGGCTACTAAGGATAGGTATTCGCCAATAAAAAAAAATATTTTCGTCATGCCGCAAGATTCCGGTATGAAAACTACTGCAGCTGAGATTTGGGTGCGCTTATATCCGTGGGGCCTTGTATTTGACTGAGGAAGGAGGAGGTGAGAGCGCCACATAAAATAAGAAAAAACTCGTAAACTAAAGTTATGTTCTTTACTGCAATATGAAAAAAAATCCAAAACCAGCAACTACGCTGAACTTGTCACTGCAGGTCTCACTCTTAGTTCTAATTCACAAGGATATAAAATGCTCTCCAGCTAGCAAGACTGAAACTTTGTGAATGTGTGTTGCATGTGAACTGAAGCAAAATGGATAAATCTTCAAAGGATTCTATATACCATAGTAATCAGTTTAGTTTGTTCTCTCTTGGTAAAAAACAGTTCACTTTTCTTCAGCAGAAAATCACAGGAGCTTAAAGGATGTAGTAATTTAATCATTACATACAAAGTTGCATTCATGCAAAAAGTGGTTTGAATACCAGGTACTGATCAGGAAATGATCCCTCACTCCTATGCAAAAAAATTAATTTTTACAGGTTTTGGACAGATAGACGGATGTGTCCTAGAGCATTTGATCTCCTCCAGCAAAATGATTAGGCCATGATAAGGACACATCCAACATTTGTGAATCACTCTCTCCTTTTCTGCTTTGGTGGAGCCTCTGCTAACAGTGTTATAAAATTGATTACAAGCAGGATTGAGGAAACTGCTCCAGGTACAAAAACAACAGCAGGTTTTCCCAGCCAATAGAGTCCCTGCATTATCATTGCCATGATGATTAAAAGAATTACTATGCCTAAAAACTTTAAAGGCCTTGGTGCAGAATACAGAACAAGAGCACAGATTACTTCCAGGTAGCCAATAACCAGACAATACATGTCTGAGTTTACATCATGATGAAACCACACCTTCAAAGGATTTACCTTTGCCAGGTCAGCAAAATCACGTTTCTGGTGAGTTGAAAGAAAACACTGTCATGAGGAAAGAAAAAATACCATGTTTTCCAAAGAAACATCACAACTAACCCATTAGAGGCATTCCAGAAGATTAATGACCCTACCCACCAATTTGATATCTCTTTGAGCCACCTGAATTGGAGTTAATGAGGTGATTTGGTCTGACCAACTGAGTTGATAACGTAACTTTGCCGCTGTTGAGAGTTTCAAACCTGCCATTTTGAGCATTAGCCCTTCATCAGAGCAAATGAAGTTACTTCATTTAAAGTTACCTGAATTGGGCTGCAAAGGGTTTATACATGACAAAAGGTTTAATGTTAGAGCTAGGGACATGTGACATGTGATTTTACAGGATTACAAGATAAGGTGCAATCAGAAGTTTTCCTTTTAAAATGAGTGGCGCATGAAAAACTGTGTGAATGTCAGCTGTAAATTCAAGCGTGAAACAGGATCAAGACCCCCCCCCCCTCCTACTATTTGCTAATCCTGATTACTGATTTTTTGAAACATTTGACACGAAAACCCTGCATGATTAAGAGAACCAGTTATGTGTAATCAAGAAAAAGAGAGGTGAACAACAAAGCGTGTACATTAAACACAAGCTGAAGTAGTAATACGCTTTGTATTTTGCAAGGGCTAAGTTTAATTAATGTAAACAAACGAAAAGCGATATCAGAAATCAGTTATTCACTGCTAAATATCAACTTGTACTCGTGTGGAAGTTTTGGAAACAACAGACTTCCACGATAGCAAAACTTCCCCTGAAGAGTTGGTATAGTGCTTATCAAAACCAAAACAACTCAAGGGGATTGTCTGAGATTCGCGTGATCGCTGTTCGGGTCGTGGAATAACAATTTTAATGGTAGCAAAAAGGGCTACTCAACATCAACAAGACGGTAAAGACGAGGTTAAGTGGTAAATTAATACGTAGCAATAAAACAAGAAGACATTAAAGTGTAAGGTGTGAGTTATAACTAAACTGTATTCCCTTTAAACGCAAGATAACTTAAATTTTAACAATCAGCACCTGAAACTTAAGGATCGAGCCTGCTTACCATTTGGTGGTGGACTTTAGGAGAAAGTTTGTCTGTAATTTTTGCGATGCCTGCGAGGCAGAAAGCAATCACAAGGAGCCCCGTGATAGTTTTCTTAATAATTTGACTGACCATGTCTCCGCACGATGTTACACCAAGACCAAAGTGCAATTACTGAAAGACTAATTCGCGCGACCAGCGAAGAACCGTCACGCGACGTCAGCTCGCGCACAAATAGAGGCTCGTCGGAAAGAGGTTTGAAAGGTTTCTTGCCAAGTTCACTGTTCTTTTCAACTTGCAACACAGGAGTAAGCACAAGCAAGAGTGTAATGTAAATTAAGTTGTAACTTCCAAATTGAGATCCAGCTCTCCCACGGTTCACTCACCCAGATGAGGCCCATTACTTTTTGCACTCGATACGGTGGATAGCTCGTTGCGTGACATTTTGGGGGAAAAAAGGTAAATTCAGACGAATCTGGTGCTACACGTTCAAGATTAAACATTTAAAATCGATCGCACCATGGGTAAATACAAATTAAAGAGCTTAAAACGTTTTCCCTTCTCCCTCCCCTCCCATTCTCATCCCCTCACCTCATCATCCTTACCCTGATTCAAATTCTTTCACCGTTCTTAAAATAATCAAATTGGCTCAACTAGGAGGTCTAGGTACCTTCAAGAAAACATTTTATCATTATATTTGGTTCACAAAATTACCAACACAACTTCAAATACATTGTGCCTCAGATGATGGTAAACCAAGACAAACAATGTTTATTTCAGTGGCATTCATATCTGCTTTCATAAATTAACTCTACCCAAATTGGTCACAAATCCTACTAGTAGTATCATTAATCTAGATATTACAATGTTTGTGAACATAAGAATGCATTCAACATCATCAGGCATAATGTATGCCAAACTGGAAGCACCAAAGTATAATAGTTAATTCCTCATAAAAACTGTCCAACTGTGCATTATATTTACAAATCAACAATTTGATAGACAACCAAACTGAAGCTTACCACAGGTACTGTATTCTTGCTGATTAAAATAATTGATTCCTGTTACTTAAATTTGTTTCTCCAGTCTTGAAGAGCAGGTGAAATTGAGCCTTAAATAATCTCTGCTCACTAAAAATTGGTTGAGCAACATAGAAGACCACTACTAGATGGAAGATCATTATCACAACAGTGTCCATGCAAAATAACATGAGATACATGGTGATGCAATATGTTAGCAAATATTTTTAATAAAACCATGTAATAAAGACACACAGCAACAGGCAAATAAGAGGACAAAGTTGTCAATGGTTTTTGTTTTTCAATATTTTGTACAGTTGAATTAAAAGAAAATGGAAGTTCCCCATTCTTCAATTTTGGGCTTGTCAAAGATAAGAGCTGCTGTTCTGAATTCCAAACTCTAACACCCTCCACGCAGATCTGTGATCCAATATGCTCTGATCACGACACAGTGCCCACACATAGCTTACATTTTCAATGTTATCCTACAAAAAGAGAAACAACAATCAATAATTTATACCCTACACCAAATAAAACCTTATGAATATTTCCACTCCTCACTTTCAACTTTTACTTACTAAATCCATCAACAGATACCCCTTGAGAGACTTCGATGCACAGCTTGTGCTTGTAATGCCACTATAGACAATGAAACTGTTTAAGAAAGATTTCTTACCTCACCACCTTCAATAATATTGCCAACAGCATCTTTAAGGATCATTATTTGCTGCACCATAAAGGTGAGAACTAAGACTGGTCCTTGCTCCATGACTTTAGCCATTGCCACCTAAGAATGTAATGTAGAGTTACGATTATCAGGGCTTTACTTCTTGGTAAAATACTCATCTTCATCAATCTCTCAGCCACAGACATATTAACAACTAAACATGTCACTAGAGTAACAAAATTGACACACACTTCACCACTTACATCAACATCTCTGACATCAAGGATTTTTGCTTCCAATTTCTGTCCCAGTTGTTTAGTTTGCTCAATCTGTGCAGCTAAGACATTGTACGCCTGGACAAAAAACAAAATTTTCTTAGGTTTTAGACTTCTTTGAGAAACCTAACAGTATATAAAGGGCGTTTTAATTGCTGCAAGTATGATTGCTCAGAATTCAGAACAAAGGCTTGGTTTTACAGTGTCATAAAATTATCATCTACTAGAGTTTTTATCCGAGGAGTTGATAAATAACTTACCGGTTCATGGCACCAGTCTTTTAATATTTCCAGGTCACCTTTTAAGAAAGCCTTGGAAACAAAAGAGATAAAACAATATTTTTTATAATTGTATGTAAAAATATGACATGAAACCATGTTTATAAGCAAGTAACACATTTTCTCACTACAAAAGCCATCTGATCAATTACCTCAAGAACTGATGGAATGATTTCAAATTCACACTCTTTTAGGAAGCTGTCTTTGTTAAACTGTGGATCAATTCTTGTTATTTCAGCCATTGTTTTTGCAGTATCCGACTGGGAAAATACATCACCTGAAAAATTAGGAAATTATTGAGAACTTATTAATAACATGAAAACTTCACTATTTAAAGTTGCTATTAAAACAATTTATCTTTGTTATTATCCACATGAAAACTATTCAAAATCAACCAGTACCATCATGATCCTTATCCTAGTCATAACCATCAATACTTCTTTAAAATTTTTTTTTACTAATTCTGGTGCAACATCATTTGAACAGAAGGAGAGAGAAAGTATTCACTGACTAACAAGCCTTCTTTACTATGCACTTTTCCTCTGTGGACAAGTGTGTTAATACTGTTTACTTACTAAAAATGTCTTGCAGCTTATCTGTCACAACTCTTGATGCTCTCACAGCCACATTGTCACTTTCATCATATTTTGTTTTAAGATTAAAAAGCCCTGATGAGAGACCAATAATATAATCACATTATATTTGACAGCTTAAAAATCTCAACACTACATCATGAGGAGGTATGAAGGATGTTACCTGTCACAACAGGATTGTTGTCTTTAAATTCTTTCCACTGCTGGTACCATTTTGAATCCTTGTGAAGCACCACTCCTGTTGCATCCCTGCAAGGTATGACAATTGTTATTAGTAATTACCATTATTAATAACAATAATCATCTGTTTTTTATAGACGCCGCTGCAAAAGAAACACACCAACTTTCACAAAGCTTGTTCCTTAGTTTGATCATCTCTGTAAATTGTTATATGGAAATTAAATGGAAGTTTCATGTAAAAAATCAAATAATATTTGATCAAATTGTGTTTTCAACAGCTGCCTATGAATACATAGATACCTACTCATTTGCTTCAATTCTCCTCTCTTTCTTCATGACACCTCCTTCTTCCTGTTCAGTACGCCGTCTTAGTTTCTCTTAATAATCCATGAAAAAATACATACAAATATTAGTCATATGAATATTACCCCAAAAAGAAAGAAAAAAGGTGTATGTACACAGCACAGTCTGCCAAGCTTCATCAGCTTGACCAGTGCACTGATTACAATGATAGCATAGTTTCTCAAACCTGGTGTTCTATATGGCTTTGATTTTTCAAGTTCTTCATCAAGAACCTCATGCTTGAAAGTTTTAAAACCCTGCAAAAAGGTGGGAAAGATTTGACAGAGGCAAATACTGAAATAACAGCAAGTTAAAGATAAATTTTAAGTTAATCTAAATTTCCAAACAAGGTTATCCCTGAAGTAATATTCTGAGGTTTTTAAGCCATCTCACTAAAAAGAGTCACAAATTACAGAAAGTGGCACAGTACTTTATATTATGAGAAGTAAATCCCTCTGAAGACAATAAAACTGCTACCTATGCAGTTTACTCACAGTGGACACAGCCTTAAATGCTTCTGTTTTTCCAAGGATTTCACTCTGTTCTTGGACCTTTGAAGCAGCTTCCTTAGCAGATTTTGCAAACTAAAAAACAAGAACCATATATTACAATCATACACAAGATTCATGCTCCAATCATGTCTGGTTTGGTACCTGCTTATTCAAATGGTCAGTGAATCTGTCAGTTGGTCAGTCTGCCTAACAATCACTCAAAATGTTGCTCACTAATATGCAAGCCTCTGACTGATGATCAATCATTTCTAGTATTTCCAGTTATTTTGGTTGTTGTTTTTCCTTTTTACTACACATACCTCTTCAGTGACCTCAATTCCCTTTTTAAATGCTTCACTTGATGTTGCTTCATCGTATGCCTGACGAAACCAATGTTTTTATATACACATTATTAAATAACTTATCAAATGATGAGACATTTCTCTAGGTAACAACACATATCAAGTTGAACCAACGAATTTTCTCCAATTAAACCCTGCCAATAAATACACACTGGTGTACAAACAAACCTTTGAGACTTTTGTTGAAAATGCTCCTGAAAAGCTCTTCACAACTGCTGAAGTTTTCATTGATGCCGATGACACATTATCCTAGGAATGACAAATGCCACACATTCTTGTCATCACATTCAACTTTTTATAGATTGCATAATGTAATATAGTAAAGAGGTTGAACCTTTGAGTAACAGTTACTTTTATCACATAAACAATGACTTCTTAGCTGGTAGATGGATAGTCAGTCAGAGCATTATGAACAGTGCTCTTAAGGACTACCCTTATTCAGATTACCTCACTTACAATGGAGCTGTAAATTAAATTTAGGTTACTTCAAGTGATGTAGTTTGTGGCATACTCCTCTGTTTTAAAAGTACACCTCAAGACTCACCTTAATCTTATTGACAAGCTTGACTCTCCCTGACAATGTCTCTGTCTGCTCATATTTTTTTGTTTCTGCTTGAAATTTCCTAATATTTTCCTACACAATGAAAAAAAATCAATCTTTCATTTTTATCTTAAGTAATATTCACTGTATACAAATTTACACACTTGACACACTGAAAACAAACTCAACCTTTGAAATGATTCTTACTATATGTACATATATTTGATAACTTTGACTGAACACATTCTTTGAACAAACCTGCATTTCTTTGTTTCTCTCAAAGCCTTCCTTGATATTTTCTATAAACCTTCCAATTAACCCAGGTTGTTGGTCTGGTCTTCTGTAAGCATACCATCTGATCTGTGATGTAAAGGCATCAACACCATCATCACCTCTTTCACTCCAAGGAACAATCTTTTAGCACATTCACCAAACAGTCTTAATGCATTGTCTCGATATAAATTAAAAAAATTTTCATGGACTGTCAACTGGTTAGGGAGATTAGTTCTCATATCATGTGTGTGAAATTGTCATGTCACACCAGATGTCTTGAAAAAAAAACCATGAAGATTTATACAATTTACATACAACTTCAAAATCAGTCGTTCAAGGCAGCAAGTAATTAATTTATCGTGAAATACCTGATGATCATAGTTATATAATCGCCTAATCTACTAGCTAGCAACGTTACACTTCCAAAGGACTGTGGCGCTAACTTAATGCGCTACAACACACAAATACTACACTGAAAAACAGTACCTGTTGAGAGTTGCATTCTCCTTGTCGAAGTCTACTTGGAAGAATGGAAGAACTCACAAGATATTGATTTGCACGTGTATCTAACAGACCAACACGCGCAAAGTTACGACAACTTTGACAGACGTACCTTCCGAGTAACATTTGCTGTAGCAAAACAAGAATCAAAGGCAGAATTTTTAGCTTATCTTCCGCTAGGGTGATGAAGCTTGTTGAGGAAAGGAGACAATCTAAGGAAATAAAACTTAAGTATTTCATCACTAACCTGCGCCATCTTTAAATTTCGTGACAACTCGAGGAAACATTGAAGCATGCGCAAATGCTCAAGTGCAACCTAATGCGGGCTCATGTGCCGTAGGATTTGAGCTCGTGGCGTTATAAAAATTGCTGCTTGATCAAAATCCCTTAAAATGAAGATCGCTGTTGAAGGTTGCTGTCATGGTGAATTGGACAAGATTTACGAAACCATTGCACACCTGGAAAAGAAGGAAGATATCAAAGTTGACCTGCTGTTGTGCTGTGGAGATTTTCAAGCTGTTCGTAATGAAGATGATCTTTCTTGCATGGCAGTCCCTCCAAAGTATCGGCATATGCAAACATTTTACAAGTACTATTCCGGAGAGAAGAAGGCCCCTGTACTTACAATCTTCATAGGAGGGAATCATGAGGCTGCCAATCATTTGTGGGAACTACCTTATGGAGGGTGGGTAGCCCCAAATATCTACTATCTGGGGTATGCTGGGGTGGTCAACTTCGGTGGTATGAGAATTGGTGGTCTGTCAGGCATCTACAAAAGTCATGATTACAACAAAGGACATTTTGAGAGGCCACCATACAACGATTCCACTGTTCGCAGTGCATATCACATTAGAAGTTTTGATGTCTTCATGTTGAAACTTATTTCACAGCCAATTGATATTTTCCTGTCGCATGACTGGCCTCAAGGAGTTTATCACCATGGAAACCTTCAAGAATTATACAGGTTTAAGAACTTTCTTAAACCAGAGATTGAGAGCAACACATTGGGAAGTCCTCCAGCAGCAGAAATACTGACTTCACTGAAGCCAACATACTGGTTTTCAGCACACCTGCACACAAAGTTTCCAGCCTTAGTACCACATGAATCCCAAGAAGGATTCAAATTCACCAAGTTTCTTGCCCTTGATAAATGCCTTCCAAGACGAGAGTTTCTGCAGGTGATTGATGTTGGTCCTTTGCAAGCACCCCTAGAGCTGACTTATGATCCTGAATGGCTTGCAATAACAAAGCTTACAAGTTCCCTTAACAATTCAACACCAAGGACAACATTTATACCAAATGCAGAACAAATATCACAGTACATACCTGATGGTCAGATGGTTGATGAAGTTGTTAAAACATTTGGAAGCCCACCAAAGATTACAGACAATTTTGAGATAACTACCACTCCATACAATCCAGATAAACCAAAAAAGGTTTACATGGCTCAAATACTGGCTGTTATGAACCCTCAAACTGAGACTTTTTGTGCCAAACTTGGAATTAACAATCCCTGCTGTTCTGAAAAGTCTGTTACTCCTTGCCCCAATCCCGAAGAAATAGAGCTAAGTGATGGAGATGAAAATAACTCCACCTTTCTTGGTAATCCTGACGAAATTATTGTTGATGATGATGAAGTTGATGTGACTGAAGCAGAACCCAACATTGATTCATCTGTTGTCAGTATTGTTCCAACTCCTGATGTGAACAAACTGAATCAAAACAGGTCTCTTTTGGAACTTCCAAAGCCTGTGAATATTTTTACTAAAAGTGAAGAGCACTATGCATTGTGTGAGGATGACTCTCCTCACACTGAGGGTAGAAATTGTGAGCATGAGGAGGTAACTCATGACAGTTCATGTTTAGAACCTCAAAAAAAGGTTTTGAAAATTAAGAGGAGAAATCAGACACTCTACGCTTCAAATGACAATGATGAAGACAGCGATGCTTGATTCTGAAGCAGGGACATTGTCACTATTGTTATTTCATGGACTAATTTTTTAACCATTATCATTAAAACTGCACTTCTCCTTCTCCTAGCTGCTTGTGAACTATGATCTTTATGAACTTGTTATTTAATACAATAACTACTAAAACAAAAGAAAAGATGTACTACAGTAGATCATTCTGAAGAAAAATAGAACCTTCTGTCAAAATATCTTGTGAGTTGTAACTTTATTTGAAAAGTGTTGCGCTAAAACGCAACAACAGTAGTGTTTATAACTTTTATCACAATGCTGCAAAAGGACCTGTACTAAGACAGGAGACATGGCTTGAAACCTCTCTTACTCATCCTGCTCTCCAGCTTCCTTTACCAATAAGCCCTGTCCCATCTTTTTTCACCAGACACAAAGGCCAACTGAAGTCTAATCAAGGTTCACAATTCATTATTTTACAGATGCCAACCTGTGGAGATATGAAATCAGGAGATTTTTCCTTTATGCTACCACAGCATCAACTCAGCACCACCCTCCCCCCAACTTAAAAAAATTGATGCCCCCCCCCCACCCCAATAAAATGGATCTCCCTTCCCAAATTACAGAGATGGCTATGTTTGAGTGTCTGTCAAGATGCGGTTGCATGAAAATGCTGTAAGAAATGGCAAGACTAGTTTGAAAAACCAATATTGGTTTGATTTGGGTAAATCTGGGGACACAATGTTAGTCTACAGTGGAGCATAGTCTTTAAGAGCTTTTTCATCCCTTTCACACAGGAGATTTGGTGAATCATATGGGAGACCGGGAGATTCGCTCTGTATCTGGGAGACTCCCATATAATGGTATTTCCCTCCCACTTCACACTCCCATGAATGTTATATCTCTTCTCTCCCCATTCCCTTAAGCTTTCGTGCCAGTACCCTTCCAGTTCCACTGGTCTCAAAAAAGATGTAAATGAGAAAAAGGCTCTTCATAATCTCGTCAAACAGTAAAAAAAAAACTTAAATATAACAGAAATCGTCTCATTTCTAACAGGGAAGTCTGTTTCATTGGTGGGCCCGCGTTACCCCAAACTGACTAGCGTGCGTTATCATCCACTGAGCATGCGTTTGTTAACTTGAGACCACGCTTGAAAGCAAAATGGCGGATGTTCTTGATGTGGATGTGGAAGACAAAGGTGGTTTTTCAGAGGACGAAGGCGATGGTAAGAGCTTTTATGCCATCAGCAAGAAATAATATTAAGGTTATGCGAGTTTCAAAATAATTGTGTTATGATTTGTGCTGCTTTGCAGACGGAATTCAGAGATTGAAGTCTACTGTCACAAAGCGCAAAGGAAGAGGATTCAAAGCGAGTACGTAAAGCAAAACTTTTCGATCAGTAACGTTAAGGTTTGAGCCGTGGTGAATGTCAAGTAAATCAAATAACACTTCGTAGTATTTGAGAGGTTCGATTCTGGTGCACGATAAGCTCACTGGGACTCAGTTAAGGCGTCAAAATGTACAGTCATTATGTCTAAGGATCGATCGAAGACCCAATCAACTGAAAGAAAACTTCCTTTTGAGGGGGAGAGAAACTGCTATTTGGCACATTGAGCCGAGATATTTTGTCCTGTACAACTCACTGCTAACACAGCCTTACTGGATTAAGGTCCATGCATTGCTGACTTATCTTGTGGTCAAATATTCCAGGTGATTCATCCTCACGTGCCCAAGAACAGTATGAATCCATGGAAACTGATGAGGCTAGTGGAACAGGCCCAGCACGATGTATGTTTTCTTTTTTTTAACCATATCTGATTAGTTAAATGAATTTCTAAAAGAAACTTGACTCAGCAACTGTCAACCTACCACTCCAAGTATGCATAAGAATGCTCAAAACTATGGGAATAAAATAATAAACTTATCAAATTATAAAGTTGCTTACAGAATGGGGTTTTCAATCATTTCCAACTGCACTCTGCCCTGAATGAGCAATATTAATCACATTGGAGCATTTAAAAGTTTGTGATTAGTTTGCAGAGACTTTGCAGACATATGAATAGACACATATAAAGTTTTTGATTCAGCAAACAACAAATATATCTTGTTGCTATGTTCAGTCCTGGCCCATGTTCAGCATAATTTAGAATGTTACATATATTTTTACTTAAAATTTCTTTATCTTGGAACCTTCAACAAATATATCTGATTAAGCAAACTATGAAAAAGAAAATTAAAGGATTCTACAAGTTTGCTGTTTATTTCAGCTGTCGAAGGTTGGATTCTGTTTGTTACCAATGTTCACGAAGAAGCTCAAGAAGATGACATTCATGACTTATTCTCTGAATATGGAGAAATAAAAAATCTTCATGCCAATTTGGATAGAAGAACTGGCTTTCTGAAGGTAAATCAAAGAGTGTTGTGGAGTACATACAGTTAGTGCAATTAACCCTTTACACTCTGATATCAATATGCTTATTATGATGTCCATACTGTTTCATTTGAATTAAATTACCACTGCTTTTGCTAAGCCTTAATGTCTTGTTCAAAGAACTGGAAACTTTCATGGGAGAATTTGGACAAATGTTGGCATGTTGATAGGGTGACGAATTATGTGCAGTGCCTTTTTGAAATCGATTTCCTTGGTTGTTTGGCTCCCCATCCCTGCCAAGCCATTGAATTATCATTTGCATTATGCATTTCCTCAGATACTGACAAGGAGAATTTGTATTAAAATCAAGAGCTTCTTTAGGTGGTGATCATTACCTATATTCTTGTGACCTATTGTGCGATTTGGGTGAAATTGGAGGGAGAAATAAGATACTAGTCACTCTTAAAGGTTAAAAGGTTAAAACAAAAGTAGATTATTATACTCCACATACTACTCAAATATTTTATGTCAAGAGATTTGGGTGCAAGGCTTGAAAGCCCTTTTCCTTCTTCTAACGATATACTTCTTTGGTAAGTTGAGTATGTCACTAACAGATGAGCTTGTTCACTGTACTGTAGGGTTATGCACTGGTGGAATACGAGACATTCAAAGAAGCCGAAGCAGCAATGGAAGCCTTGAATGGGTCCGAGCTTCTGGAGCAAAAAATATCTGTGGATTGGGCATTTGTGAGAGGGCCAAGAAAATCTGCCGGGTAGATGAGTACTTCAGATTTCTATGACTGTCTGTGTCTATTTCAGAGTATGAACTATTGTTAAGCTAACGTGATTGGCTAAGTGCTTTTGAGCTAAACAAAAAAACTCTATTTTTTCATTGTCATGTTTCTTCTATTGTACCTGCTCTCTAAGAAGGGTTTCTTATTTAGAACAAGCACATCATGGAACTGTTTTGTGAATCAAGTTGAGATCATTGTTCATGTATTCCCCAGCTAATGTCACCATTTAAGTATTAAATCCTGCATTGTATCTATTGCAATTAATGCAAACAGTTTGTCTAGCATGCAATCAAAACCTGTGAATGGAAGACTTTTTTAAGGCCTTGGACTGTTATTCCAAAATGTATTCTGTTTGAACTCATTGAACAATGTTTTTTGACAAAAGTTGTTACCCTTCCCCACCCCCAAATTTAGTCTTCCCTGTTTATCAGTGAGCCTAAAACCTTTTACAAGGTTATATAGACCTTTTTTGTTTTGTCAGGTATGATTATTATTCTTTGAAGTGCTTGCAGAAGTACTCATAGCCAAGGAAGGCTAATTTATATGCATAGGAGTCAATAGCAATCAGCACTAGGATTGATAAAATACATTGCAAAATTCAGAATATATAACTAGATTTTAAGGGATATATCAAAGTGTCTCTCAAGCTTACTTACTCCTGATGTATTGTTCTTTTTGTAGATCTGGGAGAAGGAGAGACACAAGAAGATACTAGACCATTGTTTGATTTTCATTTGAAGCACTGATTAGTTTGTTTTTCTTCTCATCTGTTTTGTAACAAATGTATCAACTGTACAAATGTGATTCTCACATGTTACTACTGAGTAGGGATATTGATTTAGAGTTGCACATCTTGATGCTTAAAATATCATCACTAAGGTACATCAACAAGGACTGAAGCTTTCTGATATCATGAAACATTCTTAACTCTGTCTCACTGTAACCAAAATATAAGTTTATCCTTTAGTTGTGTCTTCAACTTCAATTCTGAAGCCAGACTATGGTGAGGTGGATAAAGAAAGTGCACTAGAGCACATGAAATACAAAAGAGTCTTATAGAAACTTGTTATTCACACCCAACTGTATACTAGCTCTGATTGCTTGTTGTAAAATTGTTAAGTATCATACTGCAGTTAATTACTCTATGCATTTTATTGTCTTCTGTCATAAATCTTCTCACAAAATCTATGCTGGTTATGTGGAGATTGTAAATTACTAGGAGAATTCATTGCTTTTAGTTTTTAATAAATTTCTTGGAGTTAATTTGGGAAACTAAACTTATTTGTGCAACCAAACAAAAAAACACACAATTTGTAAGAAAACCTTATTTCTTGCTGTTAATCTGGCCCTTGTTGATCTCATTTTGAGCTCTGTAAGTTGTCCTATTTTATTTACGAAGTCGGGAGTTGTTATTAGCTTTTTTATTTTCTTCATGATCGCCTCCCTTATTTCCTCAGCCTTTATAGCCTTGGATGTTTCATCACATGGTGAACATTTTGAATTAGTCCAACTCGTTTGTCAACCCTGTTGCGTATGTTCTTTGGATTCCTGAGTTCAGACGAGTGTTGGGTTTGTGTTCTTTAAAAACCGCGCACCGGCGAAGAGGAAACTTACCAATAGCAGTAATAGCATGTATTTTTTCCTGGGGCTTAATCATTTAAATCCCAAGATCTGATTGTTAACTCTCCTCTTAAACTGTTACATATTTCCTTGTAAATTGATTGCGTGAATTTTGTTTTTACCACTGTGGATTTGTTTTTCACCTCACTATCGACGTCGAAATTTCCGAGTCATCCATTACAGACATTGCATGACACGGTGACGCGAGCAGCGATGTCTGTAATCTTATCGACAACGGCCAATTGACCAATCAGATTGGGACATTGCTGCCAAATGTGGTAAAAATATATATATTTTCTTTGTGGTTTCTCCAAAATTATTTCCGTCTTGAGCAAGGCGGGTCAGAGGCAGGAGAGCTAATTCGATGTAAACGTCTTTAAGATTTAAGTACTAATTTCTCTAGCAGATGCAATGACTTAAGGGCAGTCTAATTGTCAAGTTGTCTAGTCAAACTAGTTGAGCTTGTTTTGAACTCGATAAAACAAGTTTTTGCTTAGGGTTAGGGCTACTTTGTTTTAAAGCTGAGCATAACTGAAAATTTTTATTAGTTATCATTGCGCTTGTTGGCTCGAGACGTGAAGTCTCGTTTTCCAAAATAATGTTTCGGTTTATGCAATGTCTTCATCAAAGAGAGGGATTTTAGAGCGTCTTGATGCAAGCGAGGTTATTGTAGGAGATGGGGGCTTTTTGTTCTGTTTGGAGAGAAGGGGCTATGTTAAAGCGGGATACAGTAGAGCATCCAGTAAGATCTATTCGTTCTATTTCCGAGGATTAATCTGTGTTGACTCGATTTTGACATAATGCTCTATTTGCATATGTATAGTAAACACTTAACTTAGAAATGCTGCCAGCCATTTCTTCAGCACAGACCGGCGTGGGTGTGTTGCAGAGAGTACAGAAGGTGAAAAACGTAATCACTGACGAAAAAAGAGCATCATAAGTTTGACTAAAAACGACTTTTTTTGAACAAAAGAAGAAAGTTGTTCTATGATAAAGTAACTGATAAATAGAACCCTGTCCACAATACATGTGTCTCCAAAATTTGTCTCAGTCATTTCACTTTCCTCTTATTGCGATATCCATCTATTATTACTATTATTACTTTGATCCCTGGGGCTCAATAACTGATACCGTTGATTGATTTCTGGGAAAATGCTGCTCTTTGTTGACATGGTAACATTTTAGCATGTCGGGCTAAATAAGCTCAATCAAGTCCGACCGATGTATTAAAAAAAGCCGAACGTCAAAAAGAGAAAATAAGAGAAGGCAAGAGAAGAAGGCAAGAGATAGTAATGTCCCATTATGTTTTCTTGTCACTGTTAATGATTTTCAAGGTTCGCCGATTTTATTGCCCACTAGCGGTCGGCCATTCAGTAGCGCTTTGCGTGAGCTGGATTCATAGTGGGGAAATCTTAAAGTGGCAGACAAGAACTTGAAAAGACTAAAAGACTCTGACTACTGACGAGGAACTACGTAAGCTTGCTACATACGCAGAAACTCACTGCACCATGAAACTGGGTGTCAGTATTCTGTTTGTATTAATTAGGGCTTTTCCCAAGTCTTACTTTCAATGTCACAGTATTGCTAAGTCTGCTTGCTAATGACGTACTGTGTGCATGTATTTTGGTTTAAAGCTCGGAGGTGCCAAGAGACTTTTTCGGAAATTTTATTTTCTTCAGCGATAAGTTTTTGTTATCAGTAGCTCTGCACCAAATTTTGCAAAATAGTTCGTCATAATCTAGGATCTGATCCAGTAAGTTACTGGGAAAGTATAATTATATTTTAGTTCGAATGGAATTCTTATTAAACCTACTTAGATACTTAGCATAAAATAATGGAAGCGATACAATGCCATGAAAGTTAGAAAGATCTTGTTGTGCATTATAAGCGCAAGAACGTGTTATCCTTGTAATGCAGGGCTTGTCGCATTCTTTGTGCACTCTTGATCGCCATTACAATAAATTGAGAATGAAAACGCTCTGATATACTAGAGTTTCAGGCGTGTTTTCCATTATTTGACTGTTGGGGTAGACCAGCTCCAACATCCGCGCGCAATTGGGAGGCACCAGGAGTCTGATCAAGAACAGTTTATTTCACTCTCTGAAACTGTCTCCTTCCTCTTTCTCTTAAATTCAGCCCTAAGTATATGCTCTTAATTACCCTACTGGTAAGCATGTTTTGAATTATGGGACAACTGACCTTGGCAGAGTACACATATTTTTAGAGCGCTAACCGAAAAAATCTCACAAGACATTCGAACAACAAAGTACTTGAAAAACAACCAATCTTCGAGAACTAAAACCAAATCAAAACTTCCTGTGAGGATTCTGAGCAAGGTCAAAGACAAACCCAAACTCGACCAGCAATGACGATCATCGTACGAGAATGAAGCCTCAATACGGTCAAGGACACATCACTCAAAGGGTAAAATAAATGAGTGGTCTTGCAGCAAATAACAAACCAAGGCTCACAAGTGAGACTCGCATAAGGATTTCAAGATAGTGTAACTGGCCTAAACAATTCCTAAACATTCAGCCAGAACATTTCTTAATTAAGTAGTTACCAAACACTCGTAATTTTAGTAGTTCATGATACGATGTTATTTGCGCGCATAAATGTTTTTGTAGGAATGATATTTGATTCTCATATTTTTTTTTACCCAAACACTAACGACAGAGGTCCGTGTGACCTCTTGACGTAGGGAAATTGAAATCCAAGATGACTTTAACTCGGGTAAATTCAGGTAAATAACTATTTTATGTGAGCTTCCGTGAATGATTATATTTTCCTTGCATTTTCTCGCTCACAAAACATTTACGTTCGTCTAGACAAACCACCGCATGAAATTCTGGCTGAATAAAAAAGAAATGAGCCTTATTCTACTTGGAGAACGAGTCGAGTATCAAGTTTTTACTGGGATACCTGTGGTAGCCCAGTCATAAAATGCCTTTGTTTTTTTGTCGTCTTTTTTTTTGTTTTTTTTACTGGGATACCTGTGGTAGCCCAGTCATAAAATGCCTTTGTTTTTTTACTGGGATACCTGTGGTAGCCCAGACATAAAATGCCTTTGTTTTTTTGTCGTCTTTTTACTGGGATACCTGTGGTAGCCCAGTCATAAAATGCCTTTGTTTTTTTGTCTTTTTACTGGGATACCTGTGGTAGCCCAGTCATAAAATGCCTTTGTTTTTTTGTCGTTTTTTTTTTTTTTTTTTTTTTTTTTTTTCCTCCGCCACAAAATGGAAAAATTGCGCAATAGTACCCAGAGGTCATTGGGCCCTCAACACCATGACAACTAACTGTGATCCAATGTTGGCGAAGATGTTCACATGCTGATCACGTGTTATCTTGATGATGATTGACGTTGTCATGCACGGACAGGTCCGGGTCACATGACGAGCACGAGATTTTCTTTTGTCGGTCGTTTTGTATTTCAACGTGTTTGGATTACGATCACCTGAAGCGTTATAGCGCAAACGCTCGAAATACTTACAGACGCATACACAAGTCGTATTGTTCGCGGCCAGTCCACACTAAAAGATGTTATTAAGCAGTAATTTTGGACCGGATTGAGTCGCGAACTGTGTATCCGTTGTAGTTTCTGGTGATTTCTGCCGTTTTAAGCTTGCTTTACCATCACTGTTATTCACATCATCTATTTATATTACGTTGGTAAAATCTGTACAGACATCACACAAACCAACTCGCGCACAAAGTAAGAAGACTATATTGAAGGCTTGAAATTATATTACGATCGATTTTCATCAAGAAATGAGCCACGAATTTTCCACAATAGTGCAAATAATCGTGAAGACTGATCGAGGAAAAGCGATTGCGTGACGCTCGGTAAGCTGTGAGATGACATGTTATTATTTCCCAGACGTAAAAACTCTTCAGATTCTGTCTGCATTTTGTACCCACTCTGCAGTCTATATTTTGTATCCGATCTACTGTCTGCATTTTGTACTAATAGGTATCTGTGGCACCAATACAGTTTATTTTTGGTTACATTTATTCGCACAACACACATAATCTACCACAAAATACCTGTGTGGGGGATAATTCGACATTTTCGTTCTTTTCCACGTTAATACTCTTCTTTCCTTTTGTAAGAATGTAGACCACAAGTAATCCACCCACCCTACAAAAAATATTTCAGTATACTAATCCGACACCCGTAGTATCACTACACTTGATTCCAAGGATCCAGTACCATCCAGGTATCCCAGTTACCCTGCTCACAGGGTCTAGTTTTTTTTTTTTTTTCCTCCGCCACAAAATGGAAAAATTGCGCAATAGTACCCAGTGGTCATTGCGCCCTCAACACCATGACAACTAACTGTGATCCAATGAGGGTGAAGGTGTCCACATGCTGATCACGTGTTATCTTGATAATGATTGACGTTGTCATGCACGGACAGGTCCGGGTCACATGACGAACACGAGATTTTTTGCTTAGAAAAAACTCTTTTGTCGGTCGTTTTGTATTTCAACGTGTTCTGATTACGATCACCTGAAGCATTATAGCGCAAACGCTCGAAATACTTACAGACGCATACACAAGTCGTATTGTTCGCCGCCAATCCACACTAAAAGATGTTATTGAGCGGTAATTTTGGACCGGATTGAGTCGCGAACTGTGTATCCGTTGAAGTTTCTGGTGATTTCTGCCGTTTTAAGCTTGCTTTACCATCACTGTTATTCACATAATCTACTTTTTGTTACGTTGGTAAAATCTGTACAGACATCACACAAAACCAACTCGTGCACAAAGTAAGAAGAGTATATTGAAGGCTTGAAATTATATTACGATCGATTTTCATCAAGAAATGGGCTAGGAATTTTCCACAATAGTGCAAATAATCGTGAAGGCTGATCGAGGAAAAGCGATTGCGTGACGCTCGGTAAGCTGTAAGATGACATGTTATTATTTACCAGACGTAAAAACTCTTCAGATTCTCAGTCTGCATTTTGTACCCACTCTGTAGTCTCCAGTCTGTATTTTGTATCCGGTCTGCTGACTGCATTTTGTACTAACAGGTATCTGTGGCACCAATACAGTTTATTTTTGGTTACATTTATTCGCTCAACACACATAATCTACCACAAAATACCTGTGTGTGAGGTAATTCGACATTTTCGTTCTTTTCCACGTTAATACTCTTCTTTCCTTTTGTAAGAATGTAGACCACCAGTAATCCACCCACCCTACAAAAAATAACTCTTGCATGCATAGCATGCCTATGTTTTGAAATAGGTGTATGCCCTTAGCCAGACTTGAGCTCACTATTTCAGTATACTAATCCGACACCCGTAGTATCACTACATTTGATTCCAAGGATCCAGTACCATCCAGGTATCCCAGTTACCCTGCTCACAGGGTCTAGTTTTTTTTTTGTTTTTTGTTTTTTTCCTCCGCCACAAAATGGAAAAATTGCGCAATAGTACCCAGAGGTCATTGGGCCCTCAACACCATGACAACTAACTGTGATCCAATGAGGTGTTCACATGCTGATCACGCGTGTTATCCCTCAACACCATGACAAATAACTGTGATCCAATGAGGTGTTCACATGCTGATTACGCATGTTATCTTGATGATGATTGACGTTGTCATGCACAGACAGGGCCTGGTCACATGACGAATCACGAGCTTTTGCTTATAAAAATCTTTGGTCAGTTATTTTGTATTTCAATGTAGTTAGATTGCGATTTTCTGGAGCATTCTGGCGCAAACGCTCAAAATACTTACAGACGCATACACAAGTCATATTAATCGCGGCTAATCCACACTGAAAGATGTTATTGAGCGGTAATTTTGGAACGGATTGAGTCGCGAACGCTTGAAAGCCATGAAAGCCTTGAATGCCTTGTATGCTAAGTATGCCAATGTCTTAGTTGAAAAACGTTCACTTGTTGTAAAAAGCAAAATTTGAAATCTGAAACCAAACTGCATATACTCTATGCAATCTATTGAACAACACTACTACCGTGAGACTGAAGAACATAACTATAATGGATGCAAACTGCTTGCGAAAAAAGACGACATATTGGATTCACTTGATGGCAAGGAACGTAGCTACGATAACAGTACGAATGGTATTAATTTCACGATCAGAAAGGTGAATCTTATGTTTGTTTTCATTTTAGTTGTATGGATATTCTTTTTTAACAAATACGTGATCCAAAACCCTGTGTTTTTTGTGTATAATGTTATTATGTTAAATATTGTTTACACAATTGTCTTGTCACAGGCGGCCCTAGCTCACGTCTCGATAAAGAGATGAACGCGTCACGCGCTGTGTGACTCGGTGTTAAGTTACGAGAGGAACTGCACGTTATAAGGAATAGTATAGGGAACGAAGTATGGTCGATTTACAACGATACATATTTCGAAATATTAACATTTTTCTCGTAAAATCAATAAAACTTACTCATACCCTGTGTATCCGTTGTATTTTCTGG